TGGATACTTACTTTGCTTCAAATCTTCATACATGTATTGATAGTAGCTATATATTTCGTACACATGAACAAAACAAACATCCCACAAGCCTTTCCCCACCCCAGTAATCTTCTTGGCCCTCGAGTCTACGATATACAAATTGGAATTCCAAATATTCATCTCCTGTCCACTTTGGGTATGCATGTTATCCACTCCTTGAAAGCTTTGTATTTAGTCTCCGATTGTCTAACCTCTCTCGTTTCCCTCTATGTACTAGGTACATATATCTACTAGATATCTAAAGTCTGGATAGTATCTATCTAGCTCAGCCAACATTTCCTACTGAAATACTTATCTACCAGGAGATTCACAAATCCCAATTCCTAGTATCCATACCCTCCTACCTCCCTCCCTCCCTAAAAATCCATCCATAATAACTCCCCAATCCCCAATCCCCAATCTGCAATACCCAATCCACAATCCACACTACCTACCCTCCTACCTCCTACCTACCACCTCCCCCCTCCCTAAACACATCTCCCACGCGCCTCAAACCAACGGACCGAATACGGTACCTCCGCAAACCAAGTTCCAACCCATCGGACAACTCCTAGCCTGATTTTCTAGTGTGCCTGCCTTTCTTTCTCGTTTGCGCCAAGACGCGATAAATAAGTTGGCGAGGATTGTGTTCTATCCGAGCTACCTCGAGCTAGGTGGGTAGGTACTCCGTATTTTGAGATTTTATATCATGATCTTGATGAAGGTTTCTATTGTGTGTGTGTTGTTTGATTTGTGGAATGGGGATGGGGATGGGGTTAGATTTATATGTGTATGTATAGGTATATATACGAATATACGACATGGAATATGATAATAAATATACAGTGGGTAAGTAAATTTGTACAGGAGATGAACTACGAACTATGAAAGAAAGAAGAATAAATCAATCCAAATTCCATAATCCGATATCCTCGTGTCTGCAAATATCTAGACTAGATACCTAATTCGCAGTCATTCATAGTCTCAACACATACTAGCGAAATATCCATAGTATAGCCAGCTTCCTTACCAAGTCAAGTATTGATAGACTCGTCGGTACGGGCTTTTGAATATATACATATATAATCTTACTACGTATAGATATAACCTTACCTTTAAGTCTTTCTTTATATCGTAAAGAGATGCTTGTAATGTAAGTCTTATTATCTATCTCGTGAGTGACTACGGTACGGAGGAAATATCGTAGTTAGTGGGAAGATTGATAGCTATGACTAGATATGATGTAAGAATGAAGTCATATGGTTTCATGATATTGTACATTACCTATGCATAGGACTTCTTTGTAGGAAGGAGTCTGTGGGTGGTGTGAAGCTTTGATGTTTGTGTGGTGATTGTATTGTTGATTGTATTGTTGGATAGAGGGGAGGGATAGAGCCGAGGAGGAGCTTGGATGATGGTTTGGATTGGTATGGATTGGATTGGTTTGGTTTGGTTACATTTTGATACTAGCTGTTAGACTAGCTGAGGTCATAGATATAAGTGTCAAATATATAGAAATGTATCTGTGTATGACAAAACAAGATATGTAATTGTGACCTAAAAACCGAGGAATGGAAGAAGAAAGAAGGGAGGCTTTATAGATCCATACTGAAATTGAAATATATTAGTCTTGCATTACTAGTATCTTGTCTTTCGTACAGATGATATAATAGGTTATCTACGGAGTATTATATTTGGGATTGGTATCTATCTAACTTCCAACGATGACTTTGTAAATCTTAATATATCAATCATCTGGAGAGGGGGAAAGATACATTAGTTATAAATTTCTAAATCATCGCGAGAATTTATTTCTCCCCATCCCCATCCTCATCCCCATCCTCATACTCATCCCCATCCTCATACTCATCCCCATCCTCACATCGAATATCTACAACAGAACAGCTACTAAATTCTTCTTCAGCACAAATACAAATATAAATACAAACACAAACCAAACACATCTTCAAAGTTCACACCCCCACCATCCACCCCCTCACAAAAAATCTCATGAATATCGATATTTCCCACCCTCAAAAACCCATTATGGATGCTATCGAAATTCCCAATTCCCAATTCCCAATTCCATTCTTTCCTTATTACCTATTTATTCTCTACTCAACCCTCACATTCAACACATAAATACACGAAAACATAAATACCATACACGATATTCTCCTCAAAACTTCCAAACATCAAAACATGGAATTTATTTTTATTTTTATTTTCAATCTTCATGTTAATTTCAAATACATGATTAACTAACCAACTGACTAACTGATGGGTCAGGAACAGGGATTCCGGAATGGGATAAGTGTGGTGTGTGCGCTTTGTGATGGATGCGAAAATCAGTCCTAGCGTACCTATCTACTGGTATTTACTCTGTTCTGTACGAAGTACAGGAAGTTGCTGCTTTGCTTTGGATGTGGTGCTGCGGGTGGGAATCCATGGGCGTGGTGTGATGATTGGTTTTGGGGATGGGGGGATGGGATGGGTGGAGGATGGATGATGGTTTGGGTTAGGATGGATGGGATGGGGATGAGGATGGGATGAGGATGAGGGGTTTGGTGATGCTTGTTTTATCATGGAGGAGGTGTATAGTATTACAATTTACGAGTACATGCGATTTGAGATGCAATTGGAATAGCGAGGGAGGGGTAGAATCTGTAGATGCCCGTTGGGTTGGGTTAGGTTCGCATACACGCCACAGGTGACAGGAGGGAGGGAAACACGGGGGGAAGGAAGGAAGTGTGGATTGAATATTAACCTTAGCGATGAAGAGATTTTTGAGATGTCTACGAAATGGTCATGTATATCGATAGTAATAGTAAAGAGGGAGATTGTATGGTATGGTTTTTGTAATGCTATGATATGTATGTATGTATGTAATCAGATGAAGAAAACCCTCTCGCATCACTTCACCCACCGGTGCGTGGTTGATTTTAATCTACAAAGACTATCTATCGTATACGAAATGCGAGATCGATCCTCTGTAGGTTAGAGTACCTACATAGACGCAGAAGGGGTTCCTCCTCCTCCTCCTCCTCCCCCGTCCAACACCGGTCCACTCACCTAAAAGGGTATCTCAAAAAACAGTATGCATACCTGGGTATGGAAAGATAGAAACAGAAGTGGAAGTGGTCCGTGAAAGAGAGTAGAGATGCCGGTTCATAGCAGAGCTTGATAATCTCATAATGAACAAGGTCGGTCTTGGCAATCATCAAAAACGGATGATCCGGCGATAGGTACCTACAGTATCTAAAAACTGTGACGTCTTTGGAAGTTTCGAGGTGGGTGTGAAAATTTGCGAGTGGTGGTATGGGTGTTGAATGGATGGTGCGAAGATAGGATAGGATATGATATGATATGGTTATTATATTATTCTATTCTATTCGATGAATTAGAAAGAATTCTCCAAGTATTCTGGGATGACTAATCAATGTAACTAGAGGTATCCAGAAGTAGATATTCGTACGAACCATGCTTACCTGGTCTAATCATAGAATACCTAGTACTTGATTCCCATTTCCAGCTGAACAAAAGTGAAGAAGTACTGTACATACGATACATAGGATACAGACATGCCAATAAGCTGCTGAAAACTACATACATACATCTCTGTCCAAGTAGTGTAACATGAAGTCATCTGGAGATCTCCGATACATATATACATACATACCGATACCTAGCATCGTCTACCTATCTACTAAATAAACACACATTCCACGAATATATTAACACGTTGAAGTTACCGTAATACATATATACATATACATATACATATACATATACGAGTACATATACATATGTATCTAGATACCTACCTAGGTAGTACACACCCATCTCATCCAGTCCAGTTTCTGCATATCAAATATCAAAGACCGACCGAACCGATACAAAAGAACCCAACCCAACCACCACCCAACCCAACCCACCAACCGGGAATTTTCACGTGCCGCAAAGTCCGTCACAGACTCACAGACTCACAGCTGAATGTGAGTGAGTGAGTGTAAGGTTACGATAGATACCGAAGCAACGGAAAGGTGTCGGGACGTTTGGTTTGGTTTGGCTCGGCGGGGATGATCAGAGGTGGTGTGGTGTAATCAATGAAGGAAGCATTTCACTAGGTATGGAATTTTATGCATAAGGGATGAGTAAATAAACTTGTTTGGGAAGGTTTGGCGGGGATGCATTGCGATTCGTTGGAAGAGGGTCGGTGGGTGGATTTTGTGGGAGGAATAGGTAGGTACTTCGTAAATGATTTTTTATAGGAATTTGAATAAAGAGGTGGTTTTTGAGTAAGAATGTAAGAATTCATGTAGATGATATCTGGTAATTATATCGATCAAATACTGGTAGATGAGATATATTGATGTGTTTGAGTGCTGAGTACCTACCGAGTGCTGAATGCTGCTATGGTTGTGTATTATTGCTTACACTATTATCTATCACCTATTACCGATCATTCATCATCCATCATCCTTTTAATCCAATTCTTCTTCAAATCCTCATTGAATATCTCGTAAACTCGACAAACTCATAACCACTCGTGACTATCATCTTCTCTCTTGCTTCAACACATATATTATGACCACACCTGAATTGCTTCACATTTATTGACCCATTGGCCTATTGATACTTGAAAATTTGAACCCTCGGCCTTATTCTGATGGATCTTACTCCAACCGGACCATTCCAATTTATTTTCCCAGCTTGGATCCAACGGTGGAGTATTATTCCTCCACACATATACATGCTCGAAAGGCTTCAACCCTTCACCAACCACGTGTGATTGGTCGACGGTTGCGCACGTTTTCCGAATCCCATCCCAAAACGAATGCATTCAGCAAATATCGGAACGGCTACGAGATCATCTTGGGCTAGTACTCCATTCTTGAAGGAAGATACTAGTACTACCCTCCATCGACTGTAGACCGAGGAAAGAAAGGACAAGCAATCCAAGGCACAGCTCACATTGTGATCTATCTGTCGCTTGCATGAGAAGGTCCTGTTAAGACGAAACTTACTGCCTCCAATGCTCGGGTGGACCATGCACGATACGGAATATCGCGATGCTAATGCTTGAGTTTGAGTGAAGGTTAGATCTTTGCGCGTGGCTGAACTCTTCTGTACCCATGGATCCCATCCATACTTTCTGACATCCACGCCGCTTTGCAATCCAATCCAATCCAATCCAATCACAAATACACGAGAGTCTTCCTTCGCATCATCCAACTTTCGAAGCGCTAGAAGAGGACGATGAAGCGATCATTCGCGAGCATCCCAACGAGAGGATCTTCCAAGGAACGAACGATGGATGGCGAATATACTGTACATTAGGCATACTCCGTACAGGAACTTCCATGTTGGATTCTGAAGGGAAAATCAGGTCGGAAGTATTTAAGTATTATTTAGAGGAAGAGCAAGGTAGGTATGGGTAGGTATGGTATCGGTATCTGGGTAGGTGTGTAATAAATATTAAGAATGATTAGTCCAGGAACAAAGCAAGAAACGACCAAGGAAAAGATCTTGGACAATGATAAATGATAGTATTAAGCCGCGATAAGGTAGGTTGTGGGTTGTTATTATCTGGGAGTACCAAGTTTGATGGTCACTCAGTTATTACCTAGGAGGTAGGTAGTAAGCAAAAGATGTTTGAAGAGCGAGCGAGCAGTGAGAAGGGAACAATTAACAATTAACAGTGAAAAGTGCATTTTGTATCATTTTAGCAAATTACATAGAATAATTAGGTATACAATAATTATACAATAATTAGACAATACAACAACACCACCACTATGCGATCTCTATACAGAGTAGGATAATAAATAATCATTACCTAGGTATTCCAAGGTGCTACTACATATTACTCTCTACGCCTCAAAACCCAGCGACATTTATCCTTTCACGCCGCTTATATAGTACTAGGTAGGTAGGCATAAAACACTAATTATTAACTCACACTTCACTCACCCACTCACCACCACTCACCCACTCACCACCACTCACCCTCCACCTTATCAATCACCTTCCGAACCCTCCATACTAGGTAATAAATAATCATCCCTAGTCATAATATATATCTTCTACCTCCCTAGTAAATCATAAATCAATCAACAATTACAACAACTTGATCCTCCCTCTCCCCCCCCTCCGCCCAAGACTTTTCCGATCATAATTCCTCCCAAGTCTCAGAGTCTCCAATCTCTCCAATCTCTCCAATCTCTCCAATCTCTCAATCTCTTCAAATCCTCCCTCCCTGACTTCACACATTCAAATTTATACCCGTTCTCCCGGTTTATCCTAACATCCTCTTTTTCCTTTTAAACCATACCACACCACCCGCGTTCATCGCTCCTTGACTTATTCTTCAATTGAAAATCGAGTAGCAGAATACCGACAGTAGTATCTACCTAGTACAAAACACACCTACTTCTTCCTCCTTGCTTACCTACTCTCTTTCTTTCTTGCTGGCTGGCTTGCTTGCTTGCTTGCTTTCTTTTTCTCTCCTCCTTTGTATTTGGCTGGCTTGTGAGGAAAGACAGGAGGAAGGAACATTGATTATTATTATATTAATATCCCCAAAGACCGACCATTCATTCATCCATCCATCCATTCACACCCCCCTCCCCTTCCAACCCCAAACTCAAACTCCAACCTAAGGGGAGAAAAAAAATTAAAGCTTGCTCCGAGCCCATCCATACCATCCATACACCACCACCACCACCACTCAATTTCACGCCAACTTCCCCCCCCCCCCCAAAAAACTTACGCTTCCATACGGCGGTATCCCGATTCTTAAAGGCCTCAATTTGGGACTACTCTTTTTAGCTTCATAGGAAAAAAAATAAATTCCTTGGTCTATAGCCTCGCAGCATACACTCTAGCCAACTACAGCTTACTTGGATTAATTCGAACCTCTTACGAGCCTTTACGTTTTGTTTGCGACCAATTAAATCCTGCTTCTACTTGATTCCTCATTATTGTCCCCGCAGTCTCCATTTCTCACACATCAATATGATGGCCGATGTCCCTCAAAGGAAACCAATGCCACCTGGTTTCCAAACTTCTCCTTCTGCTCCTTCATACAACAATCACAGTCGAACTCGTACGATTTCTTCCAATACCTTTCCTTCCATCAATTACCCGCCTCAACCGCAAAACCCCCAAACTCTCTATCCAGGAAATATGCAGATAAGCGGCTTCTCCTCACGGAGAACTCCTTCGACGGGTACCTTTTCGACAACGGCGAGTAGTGGGAATGGCCCTGTGCCATATCGTGGCTCTCAAGACTTGAGGCGATCCACGTCCTCACGATCGGGAAATTTACAACCTCAAGGTTATGTGGCTCTGATGCGAAAACAAAAGGCGACGGTGTGGTGTGATAGATCGCAACATGAAGATCCACGATTGATCGCTCAACAAAAAGCCGCCAAGGAAAGAGCAGCGGCTGCAGTACTCGGTGGACCTTTACAAGGAAGGATCTCGACGGGTGGCACAAATAGTTTGGTCGGAAGTAATCGAGTGACGGCGAAGATAAGACATCATGGGAAAGCTGGATTGGTAGGATATAGTCCGGGAGATCTTGTCGGAGGTGTAGTCGGTGTGCCCATGAGATTGAGTGCTAGTGAAGTGGAAGGTGGAGACAGTGATGATGATGGAGATAGCGGCAGAATTTTATATCATCGAAGAACGGGTTCTGGACGCAGTAGTGTTGGCAGTGCTAGGAGGGGTCTTACATATTCACGACAATCGGGTGCAAGTTCGACAGCTGGCAGATGGAGCTCAGGCCACACGCCACCTAGCGAGAGAGAGAGACGGGAATCTTTCGCAGATGTGGCAGAAGCTGGGGAAACTCCTGTGCCGGCTGAACATGCGAGTGCGAAGAATTATTTTGAAGGCGGTGATGGAACGAGAAGTGCAGGAGGAAGTATTAGTAGCGGAGAACGAGCAGATGGCATTGCGGACTTGAATTCGAATGATGCAGCGAGATTAGCAAGTAACAGCTTGCTTAAATCAACAATCACACGCGAAAAAAGTGTGAAGAATCCCGACGAACTAAGGCGAAGAGGAAGTGTCGACGAACGAACGACCACAATGACTCTTGGTGCGGGCCGATTATTTATTGCCAATCCCGATCATTCGGATAGTGATTGAGACGGGTTGGAGGAGCATTCTATGAGATCAAAATATACGATATCAAGGAACCTGTGAGGAACCTGCGAGTACAAAAGGAGATACCTTTAGACGACGGAAATTCACGTCACAAACATCACATCACATCATTTTAGGTTGATGAAAATAACATTACTTCGTTTTGGAGCAAAAGAGCAAAGCAAGCAACTGCATTCAAAAGGCGTAGCATTGGAGTACTTTGGGATTACATGGCAATATCAATTTGGATTGGTTTATTGGGGTTATTTGTGGTTGATATACAGTCTTCCTTTTTATACATGGAAGTGGATGGTTTTGGATTGGGCATATGGTGCTTTAATCAACGTTGCTTGTTTGTTGAGGTTATTGATGGATGGAATGGATGGAGGTGGAGAGAATTGAATGGAATGGAGAACAATCGTTTTTAACGTGGTATGGTGTTTAGTGGATTGATTGGCTTGGGGGAAAGGCTTGATTAGGGGGAGAGATGATGGAGGGATGGATGGAGGGATGGATGGTATGGATGGATGGTATGGCCTCGATGGCGCATACTGATATACGCACTGGACGCACATATACTTAGAAGGAGATAATGGTATACTGAATGACGAAGACGAATGTGTCTGGAATATTGAATTGGCGCTGCTCTGTGATGTGTGATGATGCTTTTGCTGTGCTTGTGCTTGTGCTTGTGATGATGCTTCTGCTTGTTCTATTCAACTTGTGACTGACGTCGAGAAAGATTGATATATCAGGCTGGCCGGAAATGTTGATCTATCTATCTATCTATCTATTTATCTTTCTATCTGGTTGGATTGGATTGGATTGGATTGGATTTCTATAAAAAAAAATTAAAAAAATTATGAGGTTGATAGGTAGTGAGGATAGGTAGTGAGGATAGGTAGTGAGGATAGGTAGTGAGGATAGGTAGTGAGGATAGGTAGTAGATAGGTTGGTTGGTAGGTAGGTAGGTAGGTAGGTGTGCATATATATAGGTAGATAGATAGGTAGGTATATATGGTACTTGTAATACTTGGATTGGGTAGGGTAGGCGAGGTAGGGTAGGTGAGTAGGTAGAGTAGACTCGGGAGGGTAGATAGGTAGGTAGGTATATAGATAGGAATATAGGTAGGTATATAGGTAGATAGGTAAATAGATAGATAGGTAGGTTGGTAGGTAGGTAGATAGGTAGATAGGTAGATAAATGTGGGTAGATAAATGTATAGGTAGGTAGGTAGGTAAATGTGTATATATATAGGTAGGTATATCTATAGGTATTTATGATCTCATTTTACTAATGATATATACATACTAGGTATATATCTAGGTATACATATATCTACCTAGAAAGGTATTTGTAATACTTAAGCAGGCTCACGCATTTAGAGGTTTCCTTATCTTTTTAAAGACTCAAACAACAACCTACTATAAATATCTATACAAAAACCTATATTAAACCTAATACATAATCTTAAAAAAATAAAAGCTTTAATTATTCCCGAAAATTACATATTAAAAAAAATCAAAAATATTTATAAACAATTTGTAAACAATTTATAAGCAATTTAATCACTTTCAAATTTTCTCTTGATTTTAAAACATTATCCCCTAATATATAGATATTTATAATAGTTTGCTATAAGAGTCGCTACGCTCATCGGAATTTGCGACGATTAGACTAAGAATAAGACTCGCGAGGATAGCTCTACATAAGTAAAAAAAACAGGCGGGAATTGATTACTATTCAAAAGACCTTCAACAACTAAAATCTCTTTTCGATATAATATTAAATAATAAAAACACTTAATTTCAATACAAAGAAGACTCAAATTTTCATTTACTTTTTTCAAATTTCAATATTTAATTTAAAATGAATTTATAATTTATTAAAAAAGACCTTTGAAAGAATACTCAATTTCCGCCTGTTTTTTCGCTTACATAGAGCGAGGGTAGGTAGATAGAGTATAGTATAAAAAAATATACTATATTATACTATGCCTTCTAATCTATACCTAGATATATATATAAGTATCTGTTCATTTATCTGTTTAATTTATCTGTTTATTTATTTATTTTTGTATTTACGAGTATATATATATCTTATTCATTACTCAGGTTTCTAGCAGGTGAATACTAGTCATGAGCGATTCGATTGTGATAGATGGTATGATATGATATAATATGTTATAATATGATATAGCAGATTTTTTATATTGTTTTATATCGTTTATTCTGTATAATAGATGGGAATTTTTGTTTTGAGATGTGGGTTCGGGATTTGGTTCGGGATTTGGCTTTTGATAATTTCTGAATGAGAGGAGCACAACTGCACCTGCAGTGCAGGTGAGCACAACAAGCACAGCCACGATGGGGTTGGTGGTGGGTGTTCGGGTGTTTAGGTGTTTAGGTGGGTTGGGAGAGTACGGCAGTACGGGTAGGGAAAGTAGGGGGAGTAGGGGTTTCCAAGGTTGTTGAGTACGAAGTAAGGAAAGGCAGGGAAGCTGGAGGGGGGAGTAGGGGTTTGTGGCTGGAGATGGATATGGATATGGAGATTGAAATGGAGATTGAAATGGATATGGATGGATGTGGATATGAATGGATGTGGATGGATATGGAGATGGAGATGGAGAATGAGCGGATCGGAACGGGATTTTGGGAACGGGATTTTGGGAACGGGATTTTGGGAATGGCCTGGGAGGGTTTGGTGGGTGGATGGATGGGTGATGGATGGGTGATGGATGGGTGATGGATGGGTGATGGATGGGTGATGGATGGGTGATGGATGGGTGATGGATGGGTGATGGATGGGTGATGGATGGTGATGGATGGTGATGGATGGGTGGATGAATAGAGATATAACTCGGGAGGTATGTTATTATGGTTGTTATTGTTAGAGTTAGAGTTATAGAGATGAAGATGAAGATGAAGATGGAAATGAAGATGAAACGAATTTATAGAGGGGATCTTCTAGGTAATAGAGAAAGGTATAAGGCATTATCTAGTAATGCTCAGGTGTACCTAGTAAATACTGATAGAGTAGAGGTCAAATCGGACTATACGTATCAATGTACGCCACAAAATACAGGGACAAACGGCAAATGCCGCAAACGCGAAACCCACTTTAGGAAGACGCGAAGGAACACGATAATGATTGCTGTATTGTACTGGAGAGAGAGAGACGCGTTGGGAATTATACTAGGAATTGATTGATATTGAGAAAGGTTGATATTTTTTGACTTTGTCATTTTGCCTTTGAGAACGCGCAAGAAGGGATTTAAAGAGTGGATTTTCTGAGGGATTTTTGAAAGGGAATAGGAAAGGAGAGGTGAAGAGAGGATTTGGAGGGGATTCATTCAATTGATTGATTCAATTGTGGGTTGTTGGGATTCTTTCAATTCGGTACTACGAGTCGATACGGTACGGTACGGTGCGATCTTTAAGAAGTGTTTCTTTCAGAAAGATCGATTTGCAGACTTTAGATGAAATTTGTTGGGTTTCGTGGAAGAACGAATTGCGACGAATTGCTTCATTTGGCCTTGATTAACGACTGCGAATTCCATTCGAACGAAAATTGAGAAAGGATTGAGAAGAGGAATCATTAAAATCATGGAGACAAGGAGGGAATCACCGAGTTCGGGGGTCAAGAAGAGGGATTTCGAGGAGAGCTTTGGGTTGATTGAACCTTTTCATGTTGGAGAGGCCGAGAGGAAGAGAATCGAAGATATGAATTCGCAGGCTGAAATCAATACTCCTCTTCCGACGAAAGAATCTGCAGATCAATCGGAAGCAGAGTCTACCGCCGAATCTTTACCCACTCCACCGGTGAGCATACAATCTGCCAAACGCGAACGCGAGAGAGAAGTTACACCTGCGGAAAGCACGGTGAGTTCGCTGAGTGATCTGGGATCGCGGAGTACGCCGAGTTTGAATGGGGGATCGCCGGTGAGGGGATCGGCTTTTGCGGCGTTGAATGGAAATGCGAATGGGAATAAGATGCCCCCGGCGAAGAAGGCGAAATTGTCGTTTGCGGAGAAGGAGGCGAGGGCGATTGAGAAGAGGTTTAAGGAGGAGGAGAGGAGGATGGATAGGGAAAAGAAGGAGCATGAGAAACAGGCACAGTTGGAAGAGAAGAGGAAGAAGGATAGGGAGAGAGATGAGGAGAAGAGGAAGAAAGAGGCGGAGAAGGAAGAGGAGAAGAAACGAAAAGAGGCTGAGAAAGAGGTTGAGAGAAAGAGAAAGGATGAAGAAAAGGCTGCGAGGGAAGAAAAGAAGAGATTGAAGGATGAGGAAAAGCGTAAGAAGGATGAAGAAAAGCAGAGAATCGAGGATGAGAAGAAGAAGAAGGCGGCAAGTCAAAAGACTTTATCCTCATTCTTTGGAACACCAGTTTCAGCAAAGACTTCAAAGGATGATGTATCGACCAGTCCAGCATCAGCAAGTCGTTCTATGGCTCCAATTCCTATGGCCTCGACGAATTTGACTCCGAGTAAGAAGGAAATCTCACCATATGATAAAATGTTTCCGGCTTTCTTCGTTCAGAATGGTGTTAGGTTGGCACCGATTAATCATTTTGCGAGAGATGATGAGAGATCACAAATTGTACAGTCTACGATTGATGCATACATATTGGGCAATCGAAGTCCGGGAAGAAAACGAGAGTTTGACGCCATGGAACTTTTCCATCTGTCATCAAGCAGTTCATTGAAGCGAGGAAAATCGATTGTACCAGTTCGCGAAATCATGGCGGAATTATCGGGCAATCCTACAAAACCCATCGACCTTACAGCAGACTCACAAAATTCTCAAATCAAACGTACCAAAGCTCAACTGAAGGATGTTCCCATGAAATTTCTCAAATTTCAAGAAGATGTTAGACCTCCATATCAAGGTACATATACACACATACCTGTAAATGGTATTTCGAAACTAGCACGCAATCCTATGAGAAGGGATCTCCCGAATACGAATTACGATTATGATAGTGAGGCGGAATGGATAGAAGATGAAGATGCAGAAGATTTGAATAGTGAGGGAGAAGAAGATGAAGAAGGTCTTGATGATGCAGAGGATATGGATGGGTTCCTTGATGATGAAAATGATGATCTATTGATCTCGAGACGTGCCATGGGTGGTATACAGGGGGATTTAGAACCTGTTAGTACGGGATTGTGTTGGGAGGATAGGAAGAAGAGGAGTACGTATGTTAAGATGATGCCGTTTAGGATGGAGTTTATTCTTGGTAAGTTTTTTGGCTTGAAACTAGTTTTTGTCTCAACGAATATCTGAGATAGCTACTAACGTCAAACAGATCCAAAAATGAAATCTATAGATCCTTTCTCAACACAATATTGGGAACCAATCGTACCTCCATCCCAAACAGGATCAATGGACCCTCCACGTCTTCCGTTAAAATCAACAAACACAAACACCCGCCAAACTTCCCCATCTCCTCTAGGCTCCACATCTAACAACAAAGTCTCAAATCCCAAATCCACACCGCTTTCTTTCTTTGGCACTCCGACCTCTTCCTCTACAACTACATCGCTCCCAATTCATCAAGGTCAAGGTCAAGGTCAAGGCCAAGGCCAAGAAGCAAAAGCAGACACGAAACCGAAAAAATACCTCCCGGATTCGGATCTCCCGGCTTTCAAAGAAGCAATTCAGGGAAGCGATTTGAGTAAAGTGGGGTTGGTGGAGGTGTTGAAGAAGAAGTTTCCGGGGAGGACGGGTGGGGCGATTAAGGCGACGTTGGATTTGGTGGCGAGGAGGGTGGGGGGAAAGGAGGCGGAGAAGAGGTGGGTTTTGGTTTAGGGGAGGGGAGGGGAGGGTGAAGGGTGGGGGGGCATGTGGATAAGGAGAGAAATCGATGGAAGGGGGACAAATGGATGGAAGGAAGTACAAGAACGCTAGTTAGCAATATTGATGGCATGGCATGGCATGGCATGGCACGAAACGAAATGGAGGAGTCTTGGGCGCAACACATAGATAGCTAATTACTGGCTGTTCTCTTGCTTTTATCTTGCTAAGTGTATGTATGTTTTGGGACTGTATGGGATGGTATGGCATTGCATGGGATGGATCGGATGGATGGATCGGATGGATGGGATAAAATGAGATAGAATGGATTGGGAGGGGAGGGGAGGGGAAGGGAGAATGTATAGTGATGGGTTGATGGGTTGATGGGTTGATAGGTGGGTGGATGTAAATGTCTAGAATTGTTTGTAGTTAACTATTTAGGTACCTACTAGGTAGGTAGGTAGTCTTATCTATTATTTGTCAGTATGTGAGAGTGAGTGTGTGTGTGAGTGTGTAAGTGTATGAGTGAGAGAGTGTGTGAGTATGTGAGAGAGTGAGAGAGTGAGTGTGTGAGTGTGTGAGAGAGTGAGAGAGTGAGTGTGTGAGTGATATGTATAGATATATAGCAAGTAGGTGGATGGCTGGCTAGAAGAATAATAGCTAAATAGCTGGGTAATTAGCTCAAGTAGTTGGTAAAAGCAGTTGAAGATATAGTTGAGGGGGTAGTTGATAAAAGTAGTTGGCAAAAGTAGTGGGCGAAAGTAGGTAGTTAGCTCAAATAATTAGCTTAAATACCTAGTTAGCTTAAATATCTAGATATTTAGTAAAGATATTTAGAAAAGATGTATAGTAAAGATATATAGTAAAGATATATAGTAAAGATATATAGTAAAGATATTTAGTAAAAGAGTTAATGAATAAAATAAGTTTGTTGTGAATATAGATGAAACTAAAAATGGAGATGAAGATGGAGATAAAAATGGAGATGAAGATGGAGATAAAAATGGAGAATCTTTTTATTCTTCATTCAATTTTTCGTCTTTCTTTGAGGGGTGAAGGGAATGGAGGGAGAAGGGGGTGGAAATTGAGTGAGGGAGTAAGGAAGTGTATGTGTACCGAGATTCTGAGAATGATTATATGACTTCCTTTTGAGAAGACTTTTGGGAAGTGAAGTGAAGTTGGAATTAACTTTGAAAAGTTTCGTGTGAGATGTGTGAGATTAAGTTAAGTTTGTTAAGAGAGTTGAGCGCACAGTGCAGTGCATATTTCTTTAATAGTTTCATGGAATGGAATGAATAGAGCAGAGTGGGAATTTGGAAAGAATCGCGTGTGTAGAAGGAATTTGAAACTTGAAATTTGGAAGATTTGTTTGGATTTTTTTTTCTATGAGTGATTTTTGACTCTTTGACTCTGGAGATCTTTTTGTGGGAGGGAAATGAATCGGAAAGGGGATCTGGGATTTGGGATTTGTGCGCTGGGTTTCTGAGGGTATGATTGATAGTTTGATATGGATGCGGATAGTGATGAAGGGAGGAGTAAAATGATAGTGGAATTGAAATGAAACGGTAGAATTGATTGGGTTTTGGATTATTTGAATTTATAATTTTGAACGGGGGAGTCGACATCTTTCTCACCTGTGAATTTGTAATAGAGAACTCCGAGCTTCTCCAAGTACTCGGGTTTGGATTTTTGTGTTTTTGTGTTTGTTTAAAATGCTTGGTGAGAGGTGGTTTGTAGGGCTAAGGGATGGCTGGGAGTGGGGAGGATAGGATAGGAGAACGGATGGGACGATTTATAATGTAAGGGGAGTGAAGGAGAGAGAAGAGAGTAAGAGATTGCGTGAGTGGATTGGTAGCTTGTGGAGGAAGCGGGTGAAAGATTTGAGGGGGGAGGTGGAGCGAGATATGAATAGAGTGAGAAATGTAATGGTTTAGATTTCAAGAGTGTCAAAAGGGATTTAGAATGAGGAGAAGCGGTGTAGACGGTAAATGAGAATGATATCATTATTATTTACTTCGTTTCTGTTTTCAAACACCTTGAGATTCTAATTTCTCATTGTCAATGGAGTTTTGTGACTAGAAATAAAGTTGTGATATTTTCCATCTGAATTTTCTCGCAGCCGACGGATCCCTTCTCGCTCCTGGATGTTTGGGCGACCTATTTAGATCGATCGATTCCGTTATGAAGATTATCTTCAGATCTTTTCTCTAAATTTCTGGGAAATCCAGCCTCAAGGTATCGTAGCAGTAACGCAGTCGGTAAAAGAGAAAACGATAATTGTTGTGCACCAAGGTTCATCTCTCGCTAAATTTTCTGAGGGTTCTCGTTTGCGAGAGTAGATAGTAATCTACGTTGTCTGAGAGTAGTTCAAACCCCAGAATGAATTTAGCGGCTCAAGCTGATAGTATATTCCGAAAGGTTGATGACTGAAACGTATCTGGTTCTCCACAGTACTGTACACATGATTGAGAGGAATTTCTTGCTCGTGATATTTAATACTAGCTCTAGTTAAGAGTGGAAAGTTCCAATATGAATTTGGTAGATAGATGTTGACTACATAGTGCTGTTAGCACTTGCATCAAAGTCGTGTTTGAATGGATGACGATGCTCTTTCAATTTTCAAGGGAAAGGGTACCTTACTCAAATGAGAGACTGATGCCAGCTTCCCGTGCTGTCTTCTTCCACATGTGAGGTCAATTCTTAACTAGCGGCTCTTGTGAAGATCTGGAGCGTAAGTACAACATGAGATACCGGAGCAAAATAAAATAGCTTCAACTCAATGATGAGCAGGCTTACAATTTCAGAACCCAAAATAATGAATCTAGAAACTTTCACCTGGCCACTCTCAAGAATTATTTTCCATTCGGATAAATTCTGTTGTATCATACCATATTTTAGCTATCAGCTACACGACCACACTTCACCACACTGTCTAAAATCACTCAGGACAGAGCTCGATCTTGGAATATCTCAAGCAGCTCCCAACACGCAATGTAAGACGCAAATCCTGCCCAAACATAAGTGTTACTCAATACTTTTGCTGATATCTTTACAAACTGGAAACATATTTTCCAAATTAATCATCAGCAAATATCTATGAGCAGCAGAGACGTCCAATTCTCAGATCTTCAAGTAGGTGAACAATCGTGAGGCTATTTCCACGTTCTATGCACTGCTTGATACTAACTCCTGAATAGCTAGAGTAAGATTCAAGTGATAATCTTCATTTTGTCTCGGTACTCCATTGTTCTAGATCTAATTAAACGGCCAGGAACACCGATCATGTGAGAGGGGAAGCGAGAAGGAGACTGAAAGGGGTTCCGGCTTGTAGATGAATGAACTGATCCTCGTAAAGAATCAGCGTTGTATTCGGTTGTCCCAATTCCGATTTATCATTATTAGAACCATAAACTCTGAGAATCGGATCTGAAATGAACCTTGCGTGACCGGGATCAAGATCTCCTTCAGCAGCGAGATATGAACCTTACAAAAGATCAATGGCGCCTTTGAGCAGAACAGTTGTTTTGGTGCTCTTCAAAAGTTTCAGGTTCCTTCAAGCTTGAATGGTAGTGATAGGGGCTGAAGGAAGAGGTTGGATAGGGGTTAATACAGTGTCAGTGCTTTGATAATTCAAGTCAGCACTCTCTCATTACGGGGGGAAAAGGCAAATTTTTTGAATTCAGGATGAGCTCATACAATTTTTCGACATCTCCCTTCGTCTATCGAATCATTTAGATGTGAAAAGAATTTTTAGGCACAAACTCAGAAGTGCCAGAGATTGATTTAAGAGTTCTGCAACCTGCTTACCGCACATGTGACGTTTTTCCCGCGAAACATTGCGTTACAATAGGTCCAAAGTCCGGCTGTACCTCCACTTCCTAAGACGATCGGTTGCATTATAAACAAAATTTGCTGATGTGAGCGATGGGACCATGGTAAAACCAGCAAAAGTCTCATCGGCGGATAAAGCTGCCTTTACGTTGGCAACAATACAAAGTTGAACAAGTGATTTCGTGATACTAGTCGCGGCACTAGCCTGTTGCAAAAGTAGCGAGCGCTGTGAGAACGTCTCATGACGAGTTGTTCAATGTTAGGAAATGAATGTGAAAGTTGGCTGTGATGCTTCGGGGTTTCTGTAACTCTCATGAACATATATAAGTATTCAACCGGTCGAATTGAAAAGTCCACGCGTCAGTCATATTCAAATTAGTATTAGCTGAGCTTCAACGTAATTTCACAGGGGATATAGTCCGAAATCGCCGGTATCACCAACATAGTTACGAAAACCTTATTCTAGAACGATGAATGATACTATAATTCACATGTCAGAGGAACTTTAACTAAGAATGCCATGCTATTCTCTCAGCCTCGAGAATTTTGAGCAGCTAAATGGTATGGATGAAATCTGAAGAACTTTCACGGTTTGATATCTAGCACGCCAAGAATTATTCGAGACCGGCAACTCAAACCCCATATCAACAAATTTTAAAGCTTAAATTAAAGAAATTCCATTTTCGGAATCGTCATTATAGGACAATGCCATGGAAGAACATGCGTACGAAATAGGAGTACGAAGTACAAAGTCAAAAACATTAGAAGATAGAACATACCTCCATATCCTTTATTTTCTTCTAATTGTCACATGAATGGAGAAGATGATGTAAACTTTAAAGAAATAGCTGGGCTTGCTTAATAGATGAACTAGAAAATAATTATATACTGTGTTTCGAGTATCGACAGTTTGAAACTCGAAAACTGTATAAAGAAGGATGAACATTATCAAGTCGAAGAGAATCATTAGCTACAAAATTATTACAGCTGTAAACTACTTCATCACAGTTCAAGCAGTATCTCCCAGGCTTCTTTGAATTATTATTTAGTTTCAAAGCAATAATTCTTTTATAATTTTTTTAGTTTTAGTGATTTAATATACTAGTTTTTTAATAGTAAAAAGCAAAGCTTTTGATTGATTATATAATGATAGGTATCGAATTGATTATATTATTTCATATGAATTTTATATAATCCATCGTATAATCTTATGAGGACTATTCTAGGGGAGGAATTATTCAGGGAATTTATTTCTTTGGAGGTTAGAGGTTTTAAGTGGGGTTATCGGGGAGTTAAGAGGGGGGCTAGTGAGCCTATAATTATTGTCTGGGTATTGTGATCTGAGGGTTCACGACCACCCTTTACGACTCCAAGGCTTAGTTTGCATTAGCTGGCGTGGCTGTTTGATCAAAACTCCATAAAATTACTGAAAGTATCAAAGTAAATTAATTCAGTCCATTAATTTGAATATGATTCCCTGATATCGCTTGAAAGACTACGTAATCAAGACCACTTGACGAGAAAGCTGATGAAACATTTCGTAATGGGCTGTGGCTCTAATTTGGTTACGTATATGTGCTATCCAAATTCTAAGGTAAATGCGTGCTGATGCAGCTAGGATACAAAGTGTATATTTATATGTGATATGAACCATTTGACACTGGATGCCCAATCGACTTGCTCGTTTCTACTGCATCACTCATTGACTGTTCTCAATCGAAGCCCGCTGGAATGCGTCAATCGATCTTCGCCGCCCTTGTGCTAAACCTAGTTTTAGGTCTTCAGGTCGCCGCAGAATTCCCAGTAAGAACTGTTTATCAATTCGCGTCCAACGATACTTGGTTAGAAAACCTTGTTGTTCGATCCGACGGGGTCATTCTTGCTACCGAGATTAGTCCACCCGCAAGTCTTTTGGCTTTTGATCCAACCCAAGAAACCCCTGAAAAGCAGGTCGTTGCTACCTTTACCAACGTTTTGGGTCTCACTGGAATCACTGAAGGTGCTCATAACGTTTTTTATGTCACTGGCGCCAACACTACTTCTGCTACCATTCGCGATCCGCCCAAAAACGCTACCCAGGTATGGCGTGTTGATTACTCTGGTAACACAACGGAATCGGTTATAACTCACGTCGCAAGCCCTACCTATCCGACCATTGTCGATTTCAATGGCCTAGCTGCATACAACGAATCCATCATCCTCGCTTCTGCCAGCCACGACAATGCCATCGCTGCCGTCGATGTTGAGACTGGGAGAACTTGGGTAGCCTTTGAGGATGATTTAATGAGCAATATTGATGGTATCAAGATCCAAGATGGTTACATATATTGGACTGCTGGTTCCGATTTTTGCCGGGCAGAATCGTATTCCAATTTTACTATCAGTACTGCTGAAGTGATTGCCCTCGGCTCCGAAGACGGTTCCTCTTTAAACTTCGACGATTTCGCCCTATCTCCTAATGGCTGGAAGACCAACAAAACTAACAGCAAAGTTCATAAATATGCATACCTCGCTACATCCATCAACAATTCAATTATGAAGATCAGCTTCGATGCTGAGACTGGTGGTAATAATGAGACTGCTATTATCGCTGGTGCTCTGGACTCAACCGAGATTGCCGAGCCGACTGGTGCCGCATTTGGTCGTGCTCAAGGTCAACTCAACAAGCTGTACGTTACAACTGGTGGTGGTAGTGGAATGAAGGTTGATGTGGATGGTGTTGACACTGCAGTAGGAGCTCAATTGCTTGAGACAACCCTTACTTAGAAAGCACTAAGCTATATAATTTACTGTTGACTTGAAGAATCAAGGTTATTAGAGTTGTGGTATAAGTCAATACTAGAGCTCTTTTATTTCAAATTAGATCCCGAAAGTTTTGACGAATTTCCTACTACTCAAACAGAAACAAAAGTGCCTACAGATTTCCAAAGATCCAACCTCTCGTTCTTTCAAACAACAACCGAATGAAGTTTCCCTTTTGAATCGCTGAGGATCTTGTACTTGACTCAGCACCATTCAATTTTCGTTCGATGGATAAACCAGAGAGGTTTCACGCAAAACGTCATGAATTCTTCATAATAAGTGAGGACCCCGGAGAAGCTTTCGTTCACAAGCTCTAGATATGTGAGACAATTCCGCCAAGGCTGAAAAAGGAATGTGGGTATTCTCCTGACTTCCACCAGAATTTTGAGGGATATTACACACCCAATTAACCTATCATATCAGCAAACACTCATAGCGGGGTTGGGTTGGCGATTCTTATAGTTGGTATCGAATCATCGCTACTGCCACAATGAAAGTCCTCAGCAACGACCCGTGCGACTTTGGAATTTAGTCAAAGGTTTCAGTACCGCCTACATGCCTCAAGTCCAAAAATATAAAGATCGCGATGTATCCTTCAATCATGAAGATGTATACACGAGTGTCTGCTACAAATTCTCTCCTTCAATATGCCACGAGTCTCAAATATAGCTCGGCTCTTTTGCGCGTTCGTTTTTGCGGCTCAAGCATATGCTGCTAATCTTCCACCGCCACTACAACCTGATAAGCGACCTACAGTTCGTCCCTCTCCGATTGTAGATCCTATCCCTATAACGTGTACTACATCAACCGTTAGTATAGGATGTGGAAGTATGTATTTTGGTTTTGTATTCTCTTTTCGTCTTAACCAATATCACTCACTCATTCTTCAAACTCCAAATCTCCATATCCCCCTCTCTCTGTAGCAATTTCTAACTCTCCCTAATAGAAAACGCTTGTCAAAGTGCTTGGGCAACAGCTTTCACATCCTCTAATGCCTACGTACAATCATTCTGTTCCTCATTTACCTCCCCCGGACGCAGAAAACCCCTTGTATTTGACAATAAAGGACCCGCAGGCGCATGCACAAAAGGTCTTGGCAATGCTGCAATCCAATCCTCCATCTCATCAGTCTGTTCTTGTTACGCTGGCCCCGGAGTTCCCACCACAGCATTCATAACAATCTGTCCTACCTGTCCACCCATCCAAACCCAAACCATCACAACATCTATACCCACTCTCACTACCATTATTCGAACTGCCGATGGAATCATCAAGACAGTGACCACTATCATTACACTAGTCGCCGACCAGGTCCTATCAAATCGCCTTACCACCACAACCACCCAATTCATCACGCGTTCCGATCTCTCCGCCCCATGTACCACTACCACAAATGTCCTCACCACAACCCTAGTAACAGCCATCTACGACTACTTCACCTACATAACCACCACCTACCAAGCAGGTCGTTATCCATGCGATACCACTCCTGGGTCACCGAGCGCCACTACCATTACAGTATACACACCATACTGTGACCAAATATCCGAACGTATCATTACAGTCACCAGTACCGTTACAGCCGGTCTTCCATTCTTGCCTCCCTCGTCTGCAACGTGTGAACCAACGACTACAACAACGGTAACTTTAGTTATTGATCCTATGCCCATCGAATACACAATTACCGAGACAGTAACGGCTGGAGTCTGTACAGCGAAGACAACAGAGACTAGTACTACTACCTGGGATGATAATGGATTTTGGCCCACACCTACTCCGTCGACTTCCTCGCCAATTATAATTGATGATGGGGGATTGACTTGGAGGGAAACTTTGGTGGCGCCAAGTCAGGCTACTAGCACAAGCATTCAGTAGGAAGAGGAAAGTTAAGTCTTGGAGCTAAAATGAGATAACTATCATTGGAAGCGAAAGATGGCTCTCGAGTCTGGAAGGAAGACATGGGAAGATAACACGATCTATGAGATTTTGGTATGAAAATGGAGGATATTGATTTTGAAATGCTTGTGATCCTGAACTTTGATTTTTGAACTGATCTTGTTTAGTTAAGCTTGATAGAGCATAGATCTTACTTATATGGGATGTCTATTGTGCGAAATTGAAGAACTCACTTTGATATCAGGAAAAAATTGATTGAAAAAAGAAGAGCAAATTAAATACAAAGAAAGCAAAACTCCGAACTCCAAAATGCCAAACACTAAACGCCAAACGCCCAAAAAACAAAAACAAAAAGAAAAGAAAAAATAACACTATAAATCCACATCCACCCATTCCCCCAACCAACCATCCACCTCCCCCTCCACCCACCCCGCCACCACCTCCACCACCTCATCCACCCACACAACCCCCTCTCCCCCCTCTCCCCCCTCTCCCCCCTCTCCCCCCGCACACCCCGCAACATAGTTGTTTGCCCGAAGGCGGAGAAACAGCAGCAAAATATAAGCTCCGAAGAGCGTCAAAAAAGTGAAGAAAATAATCTTCTGTGCCCGAAGGCGCCACTGACGTTCCCGAAGGCCCATCTCTCGCTCCCGAAGGAGGAGTTCCCGCTCCCGGAGGCGCGCACGAGTCTCCATCTCCGTTATCCGGAGATAATGATTCTGATTGTGCGATTAGAGATTGGGCATTCAGCGGCAGATGTGAGTAGATTGCTTACAAACTCCATTTGCTCCAGTTGGAGCCCGGCAGCCTGCACCGTCTCCCCCTCCCGCAGCTGGTGTTCCTGAATGTACTGTTAGCTTTGGAACAACATGGGAGCTTCAAATAATGAAACTGTTTCAATCAATTTGATCATTTCAAAACAACCAAGTGAATGAGGTGAATTGGACCATTGTGAATAATCACTTGATTGTATACCATCAGAGCAGATAGAACAATCAGACATGTTCATACCACCAGATAGATTGAAATAACAATAAAGACGGAGAGACAAAGGTAACTTACAAATAAAAGGAGATCCCTCTCCTCCTCCACGGAACGACCATCACCTTGGTTCGTCAAATGTATGTGGTGATGGTCGTTGGTGAGGGTCGGAGAAGGAGAGGGAATCTCCGCCGCGCCGGCCCGACGAAGTTCAGAGCGAGGTTGATGTCTTCGACGGTTCTATATAAGACAGCTGTCAGCAATGTGCAATGCTGAGTAAGACACCAATGTCTGACCCAAAGCCCAGCATCTCAACAGAGTATTCAAGATCGTATCTGAGCCGGCGACACACTCACAGCCCAAAGGGACGATCGGAAGCGGACTGGCCGGTGATACACGCGCAGCACAGGACCATAGTACTCGGCAAGCTCCTAACGCTCCGCCCGGGTGAAACTGCATCCCGAGCGTCCAACTATGCCTACTTTTAAAAGTAGGATTTCGCTTCTTTTTTGAACAACTGCTTCATACAAGGCAACTGCTCCTTGAAAAGTCTGAGGACGACTCCCCCATACCAAAGTAGGCTGGTTTGATGATTCCACTGATCAATAGGAGTCGTACATGCCCAAGTCATTCAAAGAGGAGGAATGGTAATGCAACTCCCATTGGTGATATTACGCCATGTATATAGAGAAAGTGAAGGCTGGCAGACCAAGGGAGAGACATTATGAAAGGGTGTCTTACCTCTGATCCCGACATTATGGTTGTTGTTGTTGCTGTTGAAGTTCTTTTGTGGTTGTCGTGGACTGTTGTGCATATAAATTAGCAAAGTGAAATATCACAGAGAGAGTTGGATCGATCATTGAAAAAGGAGGATACGTACACTTTGAAAATCGAGATCGGGCCAAAAAGAAAAAGAAAAGAAGATCAGAAAAACTGAAGGGGAGATGGGTACTTATAGGTTCTGATTTTCCAGACTACTAGAAGGTTGTTGAAAGTGCGATGTACTATGAAAGTATAATTTTGTTAGTTTGTGCTACGAACCCGACGCTAGTAGTTGTCATGCAACGGATAGTCAACGTAGCTCTCACCTTCGACAGTCCATAAAGTGAGATGGCAGTTTGAACTTAGTTGACCATTCCATTTCTTTCCTACTCATCGAACTCATTCGAGTAGGTAGAATGCTCTAGACTGCTGGGAATATTTAGTGCATACATACCTTTTACGCTTATAGATCCCAAGCCATTCGTAAAAATGAGATCTACTTGCCCATCACAAGTTTGATGACTTTTAAACCTGAAATGGATTGCGAAATCATTCGATACACCAGGAGATCTACATTATAGCGTAGAAGAAAGACTTTAGTGTGTATCGTAAGACTCCGCAAGTCAAAGCCCATTGGAATCATTTTGTCCAAATGATGGAAGTATGATCATACATGTTCGTTCCTGACGATTGCAAATTTGAACGTATACAAATTTCTAAGTCCTGCAAAAAAAAAAGTATGCATCTAAAAACTGAGTTTAGAAGATCGAAGTATTTGGAAACCTGAAGTATAATTATTTAGCTTCCGAACGGACCGGTTCTTTCCAATGACATTTTTAAAGCTACCTAGAATGGCGCTAAATAATACTAGTACATCGCACTAATAAAAGTGACAGAAGTCAAACGCGACTAGAGTTTTTTTAAACGCGTCGCGTGGACATCAAATCCGGCAGGCGCTTACGTTGAGACGAAATTATATCGAAGGAAGATGATACCTAGGTAGTAAGAGCTCATATAATTAGATACCCCGATACCAGGTAAGCTCAACTACGAAGCTGAACGTGACAAAAAGAGAAAGTACCCAGGTAGGACTAGTCTACATTACAAAAATGACTCGATTTTGCATTGTAAAATTAGTGATATACCGTCCAGATAATGCTCGAAGCAAAAACCCGCACCTTTTACCTAAATAAATACCGCACAGAGTACTCTTCCATAAAAAATGCCAGAGCCATACAACCTTAAAGTGACATTGAGGTCGTCTCGCTTAAAACAAAATCTTACATAAGCATTACACCATCGCTCAAGTGAATGTTTGTTGCGAAACCTCAAGTATGTGTCCCGGAAGGTGAACGATACAAAGGTAGAACAGAACTAATAGACCTGAGAATCCGATGATTGCTATTAGACTACTTCCAATTGATCAATTGAGTTTGCATATGAATGCACTCAACTTCAAAAAGACACCCATTGCGTCATCAAAGTAAATCAACATCATCCTGCACTCAAAGACCAACAAATTCTACATCATCACAAAGGGAACCAATACCACTTTTACATTCAAGTATTGCACTACTCTCAAAGCTTCGCGAAGTCAGAACATCAACTGCATTATTCGTCTGACTATTTTCTAGAAATCTGCAGCTCGCGAAATATCTTACACTTCGACTGCATTTCAATTCCCTATCGTCCTTCTAGCAAAACGCCCCAAAAGTAAATTGGTATTCCCACCCATTCATTAATGCAAGCAAGCTCTCCTATGCAATCCACCTTTTAATGCGCCATTTATGACTCAGTTATCCATGAATCTACATGTCCATGGTCTGCCCCGCTATATAAATCATGCAAATCGTAATCGTACATGCTAATGTGATAGCTCAAAAGAAACTTTGAAATGAAATTTGTGGGCTTTTAATCCTCGATAAGTTGACCTAATATCAAGCTTTGAATCATGACTTCATCGTTGACAACCCTGATGCGTTTAGGCAATGGTGGTGAAGCATCCTCCTCCTGTATCGAAACTCTCTTTCGCTTTCGGCCACCGCCTGAGGTGCTTGCTGGGGTATTTTCGAACACAACTGCCTCCACATCCTGCTTTCCATCCACATAAAGCCAATCATAGCTGGCGTTTTTGCTCTCCGCATCGAGAAGCATTTCTCTCGCTTGTTTGAGATCTTGTGCCTGGCCAAGGCGGGTTGGGCCAAGAGCACGAGTCAGAAATGTGTAGGGTTTCCGCTTCTCGCCAGCTTTTCCCTTCCCGGTAACGATCAAAATAGATTTCCCGTCGAGTAGCTTTAATCTCTGAGTGAAAATGTCATTGAGATTCGCATTAGAGGCAGAATATGGGCGTAAATATCGACTCTTCACAGCTCCACCTAGAAATGAAGAGTTCCCAGCTGAGAGAAGATATGGTAGCCAATCGATAATAGCACATTTGTCAACACAGTGAGAAATCCATCGTCCTGAAATACACGGGAGCCCAAGAGCCAGCGCTTGCATGTACTTGGCCTTTCTCGAATGCTCATCCGCAATCAGTGCCACGAAACCAATATTTACCTCCGAAGAGGCAATCTCAAGCTCCGCCTCTCCAGTCTTACTATTTCCGGTACGAGATTTGGAGGGTGGAATTATCGGGGTAAACAAGTTCTCGAATCCGTCATCTAATATTCGACCACCATGTTGTTTAATCAAACGGATCGCAACTTGCTTATCCTTTTCTGCATCCACGTATGAGACAGCGAAAGCCATTCCCTCGAATAGATTATCCATTGACTTCTTACTATTCAACGAATTTTTTGAAGGCGGTGTTGATAGTGCCAGTGGATCTTCACTATCTTCTTGTGATGGTAGAATTGATTTTCGATTTAAGACAGGTGCTGGAACGGCATCTTCTTGCTCTTCCGGGCTCATAGAGCTTCGGGTACGGTGTCTTTTCGTAGCTGGCAAAGCAGTTCCACTGATTGATTCCTTGGCCTTGGTAGCAGCACTGCCTCTCGGGCGACCTCTTGAGCGACCTCTTGTACTTGAGTTAGAATTAGAAACGGATGGAGATACTAAATCTGACTCAGCAGTGGATGAAAGAGGATTCGAAATTGTAGACGACACACTCGAAAGCCTAGTATCTCGAGCAACTCTTGGCTGTTGCTGTGTGATAGGCGACTTTCCGAATTGGCCCTTTGAGAATCGAGTAGATTTACGTGGCGTTCTTTGATGTACGCTTTCTTGCTCTCTTTTTGTCGATGAAAGTTGTGGCTCCTCAATCGGGATTGTTTGGGAAGGCTTCGCATCATGTTCAGTTGAGGCCAATGGAGGAGGAACATCTTTTGAAGCAGTCTTAGAAATATCTGCTGAAAAGTTCAATTCAGAAGGCTCAGTCGACAGCTCTATTCCAGGTGAGTTGCAATCGACTGCTTCTACTTCAGACACCTCCTGAACTGTGGAAGTCAAAAGATTTCTTGCGACAGGAGTGGGTGGCTCTATTGTACTGGGAGCGGATGAAAGTCCCGACGAGGCTGTAGCAGCAGAGCCATTGGGTATTATGTCAAAACGACTAGGCGTAGTAGCTAGCGATGGTTGAAACTGAGATTGGCGTTTCGGGGTATGATGACTAGATACACCAATAACCTCGTTAAACTCATCATCCATGTTAAATCCTGGCAAGTCATCTAACTCATCATTATTTCCTATGCTGAGAGAGATTTCTGCGATCTCAGTCATAGGAATCAATCTATCAGTGGCTGGACTAGTCTCTGGGACAGTGGAGGCGACACCATCCGAGGGTGGATTCTTTATTTGGGTGACGGGTTCTTTAACAGCGTCGCTGAAAGATACTTCATTAGGTGATGCAGTCATCCTCTGGTCGGGTGGGGCAGGTACAGTGGGATCTTTTTCTTGAATTCCATCGGCATGATTGACGTTTTTGCTTTCCAGAGGCTGTTGTAGCTTTTTTGCTAGCCTCTGAGATGGGCTCGTTGATTCTGGGTTCGCCTTTTCAACATCAGAGCAGGCTGGCGCTCGATTCCGTGGTCCGGGCACTGGAGAACTTGTAACAAGGTTGCTTGACAAAGGAACACCTTGAGAATCAGCAACCATGTCCTGTTGTGTTGGTTGAGTGTCTCGTGCATCAAAACCTTCACACTGGGCTACGTAGTCCTCCTGCATGCTTCGGCGTCGTCCACTTGCAGGAACCTCCACAGCAATCGGAGTTGATTCGAAGGCCTGGGGTGTATGAGAAGATGTCACTTCTGAAGACTTGCGCTGATGATTAATTGACCTTTGGTGTGGACTAGCCGTGGCAGAAATTGAACTGACTTCTTTTGCAGAGTCCGATCTATTGGATAGAGTTGGTCTTCTCCCAATCAGGGCTGTCTGCGCGCGTAACTTATGTTTCTCTCTCGCCGCCTGTTGGAACTTCTTGGGTAGTGCCTCAATATCAGAATCTGATTCCGAGCCAGAATGTACCTGACGTTCGATGAAGTTATTTCTTCTTTCTTGGGACTCTTTCATGGGTATGTATGTATCCTGAGGTTCACGTACTAACGTTAATTTTCGAAGAGCGGAATCAAAAGATTGTATCTTATTTGACACTATGGCAGATTCGACTGGAACAGGTGTCTCAGTAGATGTTGAGCGGTCAGGAGATCGCTCTAATTGTTGGGTAATCGCGCTAGCGACCTCCGAGCGTCGTACGAGTGGTGACGGTTCAACTTCTTGTGAGGATCGATATCCCTCATAAACATCAGGCGATGGCCTAGAGGATGTAGGACTGCCACCAAGTCGTCCAATCGATGATGGCTGGGTTGCGCCAAAGAGCTCATGCTGCTTCATTACACTACCCTTCTCAGAAAATGGGTTGACTGACGGAGCCGGAGTCTGAGGGTCAAGAAGAGTGTCTTGCACAAGATCTTGAGTGCTATGAATAGCAGGCGGATCTTCCGACTGGAGATAACCTTCATCAGGTACCGATGCTGGCTGAAATGTATCAAAGTTTATGTGCCCCGTGTCGTTCTCCTCATATGTACGTGCAGTCGACTCAGTATGTGTAGAATTGGGGTCTCCAGATATGCCATTTGATTGTGGACCTGGCAGATCATCTCGTTCGATCGGAATTGGTGGGCTTGAGGAGAAATCGTTATTCGTTCCAAGAAGAGCCTGGTCTCCCAACCTTTGCAATTCTAAGGCTTCGTAAAGTGACTCAGGATTCTCTTGAGTTAAAGATAAATTACTCTTTTGAGTATATTCCTCACCCTCCATTGCTCTCAACTGGGCACAAGGCAAGGGAAGTAGGTTGCCGGTAATATCGGATGGCCTCAAATTTTTTCCATTGTCTCGCTTTACTGTTGGCAATACTGGTGGACCATCTCTCGTCCGTTCGGATTTATGTACAGGATTTGAAGGTAATGGACTTTCTCCGTATGCTTGGGCATTAATATCGGATTCTCTGGCGGACTCTATCTCATGAACAACTTCCTGGGCATGATTGTGGTGTTTTCCATTTCCTGTAACATGACGGACATTGTTTGTCGCGTCGATATTATAATTATGATTGCTTGACGCGACGACGGGAAATGACATATTGTTATCCGCGGCTGGTCTCGCCGGACTACTCTATTGGTGAAGATAAAATGTCAGTGCTGCCCTTGTAAGTTTTTGCCATGTTGTGATTTGTGGAATGGTGATTGTAGAGTGTGAAAGCGGAGATCAATCAAATCAGTACATATGTGGCTTACCGATAGTATTTCTTCTTGCAGTTGCAGACACCTCTGCGTATCGAATTCCTCTGCGCCATCTCCATTCAAAGCCGCAATGGCGGCCAAACTAACAGATTTAAACATGATGATATTCTCATATTCAAGTTCAAATTGGTCGTTCAATTTTGATTGGTAGTTGAGGTCGTGGTATAAGTGAAATGTTGACTTGAGCAGAATGATGAAGAGAAGATGCTGTAAGATAAGAGTATCGTGGCGAAGGAGGTAAAACGCGACGAGCTTTTAACATTTTGGTGCGTCAACACGTGATCGATTAAATGTTTCTGTTGCTCCAGCTAAAACCAAAAAAGAAGGTACTAACATAACAGTACAAGGAAATCTGGACAAACCATTTTGATTGGAACAATGCAGGACATCTACAGTACATGAATCTCTTCATCATATTCAACTTCTGCACAGTAACAAGTAGGGACTACATTGGATATTCGAGACAAAGTCAAGAAGCTTCTGCTTATCCCTTGATCAGAAATCTCCTAGTTGTAGTTGGAGATACACCCATAAACTTATCCAATTTTCTGATAGATAGGGGAGTACCCCATGCTGGCACAGATTTCTATAGAATTTGTCTATATGTAGAGCAGTCTTTGTTGCTGACTCAATATTCCGTTATATCGTCCACTGAACATTTATTATTGTTGACCGAGAATCAAGCATCTGAAGATGTTTCTTAACAGGCCCATTCCACATATATATATGATTTCCGTATATCGAAAACATTTGACAGCGTCATCCAGTTGACAACGAACTCCCCTTTTGCGGCTTGCTCTTTGTATTATGGTGTGATCAAGTGATCCATTCGTGTGAGAGACATATCTTCCACTTCACAAACTTAAATTATCCCAAAGGCTGATGTGTCGCCAATCTCTCCTGTTTGACCAGTGTCATAATAATATGATTGAGAGCTCTAAATACAGCTTAACATAAGAGAGGGAAACGCCTATGGCGTGAAAGTACAAATCCGAGTCAGACTTTGGACGGAGGCTACCTAGTTAGACACAGCGATTATGGCGCAACAACACCAGATTCACTTACCAATATGGTATGTTGGTGTTGGCAAATGGTTCGATGGTCCTCCATATCGAGTCGCACCACCATACGTTCTCACCACCTTATAATCCACCACTTCTTCTTCTTTTCGAACCCACAATCTACTCTCACTTCTTCCTCACTTCTTCTCCCTCAAATATCCACCATCAAAGCTTCGCCCTACGTTCTCAGCTCTTGTCCTCTTTTCCTCTTTTCAATCCGTTTTTGAGATTACTGAAATCACTGCGAAATGTCAGCAGAAGCCGAGAGCCAAGACATGCCGAATTCTACTCCTATCAATGACGGCATGGTGTGTGATACTAAGGAGATATATGAGGTTAAGAAAGATCGATTCGGCCAGATCACTTGGTCGGCCAAGTATCCCGATGATGTGGAAGATGCTGCTGAGAATGCGGAGACCGCCCGTTGTGCCATTCTTTTACGCTACAGGAAAAGCTTCGATTCTCGCAAGAAAATGGAAATGGATAGCATCATCATCCAGAGTCCATTGCTCAAGCAAGTTTTGAACAAAGTTATGAAGGATTATCCTGGTGTAACTACAAGCTTGCAGAGACTCGAATTCAAATCCCCCTTCAATCCATTCGTTCATCGCTGGATCCAACTGTTGCAGGCCATCGAGAACGAGAACGATGAAGATACAAAAGCTCATCTTGTTCTTTTACAAAAGATTCTCGAACCAGAACTCAAAGACGTGATCGAGGCCAGAATTGACTACATCGAGAACAAGGTTGTTACTTACAAACACCTTTGGACTATTTTCCAACCGGTTGCATATTATACAAGCCAATATGGGGTCGTGATTCTGCTGTATCGTTTTCTCACGGCGTTGCTATCAACGATGAGAAGAAAGGTCACGTCTATCGAGTATACTGCTATATGGTGAATTGGGATGGTGAAAAATTTGGATTCGACTTGGGTCTTTGCGATATTTCAGAGTTTATAGGCACGGCCGAGATCGATACACTCCCTGTCTTTCCACTCGAGTTTCATCCAGATGAAAAGAAGATTAAGGCTAAGCTTTTCAAACGCGGAAAGCTTTTTGAACAATATCGTGGTCATCATTTTAGATATTACAAGTCCTTTGCCATTGGTGAAGATCCTGAATCTGGCTGCCCTATCAAGGTAACCGTTGATAGTCGTATCATTATGTAAGTATTTCCTTCCATCGCAGCTGACAATCACTAATCAATATTATCACCAGTGATACTCGTGCATATGGCAAATTCAACCCCAACAAAGTTTCACCCCTCAAGTCGCTTATCCATAAGAGGGCTTCTGAAATCGCGGATCTAGAGTCAGACTATGGAAGCGATGAGTACGAGCTATATGAGGACGATATCAATTACTCCCCTAGAAACCCAACTTTGAACAGAGATAAGGATTCTACCTGGTCCACCATCAAACCCCTCGCCTTAGAACATCTCATCATTTGTTCCCCTCTTCTCAAAGGATATGCTTTAAAAGAGAAACTTTGGCTTGAATTTTTGGTTGATGTTCCTACCGACATCGCCTGGAGCAATTCTGCATTCCAAAGTCTCGTCCTTCCGCCAGCACAAAAAGAACTGATTCACGCCATCGCAACTTCCCAGATCTCAAACTCTTCGAAGTTCGACGATGTCATTAGTGGCAAAGGCAAAGGCATAATCTTTCTGCTTTCGGGTGGCCCTGGTATTGGGAAAACCTTGACTGCTGAATCTGTTGCCGAGCAAATGCAAGTTCCACTCTACGTGCTTTCGGCCGGAGATTTAGGCACAGAATCTAAAGATGTTGAGTCAGCTTTGCGTTCAGTCCTTCAGATGGTCACCAGTTGGAATGCGATCTTATTGTTGGATGAATGTGATGTTTTCCTCGAGGCACGAACTTCAAATTCGCTTGAACGCAACAAGATTGTTTCGATCTTCTTACGAATACTTGAATATTATGAAGGGATTTTATTCATGACCACAAATCGTGTCAAAAATATTGATCCTGCTTTCAAATCACGCATTCATTTAAGTATGGATTTTAAGGATTTGGATAAGAACGCTAGAGAGAAAATTTGGAGAAACTTTCTATCGCGTGGAGAGGATCAAGGACATCATCATCAAATCACTGATGTTGAGATTGGCAGATTGGCGGACTCAAACATTAATGGAAGACAAATTAAGAATGTTTTAAAGACTGCTAAGTTGCTTGCTAGTCACAAGGGTGAGCTTCTCAAGTTCGAACACGTTGGAACCGTTATGAGTGTGGAGGGAAATTAAGCACGTAGGCATATCCCTATGCATATTCTGAAAGGAAGAATTCAGCTTAGGATTAAAGGAAGTCGATTGGACAAGTGTCTCGTCTCGTATTTAGCAAGTTTGGGACATTACTAGACAATACACGCGCGTTTATTTTTGAATTTTTGAGGAAACTTTATACATTTAACTCCAAGACAATTCGCAAGTTTGAGTGATAATCCACTAAGTTCTCAATACGTACAATTTTAAAAGTAAATTTAGTATTCCAAACTGCTCGAGTCATTCAATCAAATCCAAAAATTGAAAGTTTCTGACCGCCCAATCTCCATTTTCCACCCCAATGCCGCCATTCGTATTTATCTCCTCATTCTCCAAGCCATCAGCAACCCAATCTCGTATCCTTCACGTGAATCACGAGCCATATCGTATCGTATCACCGCACGCTCTCAGCCTCAACGCGGATCCGTCTTGGCGGTAAGCGGGACATCAGACCATGACTTCATCGCTTAACAGAACATCGCGAATATCACTAATCCGCCCGCATCACCTGAAGAACAGTTTCTCCACATCACGCCATAGCGCGTGGGTTGTCAAACTATTTATAACACTCTCGAATCTTTTCGGGATTTTAAGCTTTTTGCTGCGGGGGAATTTTACTAGTTTGTGTTTTTTACGATGTTTGTGTTTTTGGGAGGAGAGCTGAGTTTAGGTGATGATGCTCGTATTTCGGATTTGATGATCGTTACACGGAATTGGAACACGTTAGTGAGATATGGGGAGAGCTTGGGTCTCGGATAGCTAGAAGTGAGTGACGGGTACGAGCGATGATCTGACAGCGCAACGACAATGGGTTGATGACATTAAGCTTATGATGTATGCTTATTGGTATCTTGGAGATGGACTAGCTGGATATATGTAGGTTAAGTAAGAATGATATGACAATCTGGGGAAATGGAGTATATAAACTCTGGATACTTCCTGAGGTCAAGAGTTTTTTCATCACCACCATCATCACCATTACTATCTCATACATTTAATCATCAACACAAGCTCTTTAAACACATTCAAACAATCAAAATGCAATTCTCCACCCTTTTGACTCTTGGTCTCGCAGCTATCAGCGGAGTCGCAGCTGCGCCTACCAGTTACTTCGATGTGGATATTACTTTTATCGGGGGCCCAGCAAGTTACAGTTTGACTGTTCCTGCAGATGGACAATTTCACGCAACCAGTACTTGTCCCCTTCTCTCTCTCTTAAGTTTCTTTACTCCTATTTTCCTTTTCGCTTCCACCCCTTAAGCCCCAAGAAAATCTAACTTTTACTCCCAGACAACCCCCTCTCCATCTCTCTCATCCGCTCCTCCAACTTCGACGTCTATAATCTCTGCACCTTCTATCATGACAATGCGGTTGCATTAGTGAACAATGGAGGGATTGTTAGTGTGGGTCCTCCAACACCCATCACTGGGGTGAGCTGCCAGGTGACAGACGAGAGGTGCATTCCTAATTATAGTAAGTCTTTCTATTTTCCTCTGCAATTTTATATTTGTGTTTGGAAAGTTGTTCAGCAAGTGAAGAAGGGAGGAAGTGGTGGACGAGAAGAGAGAGAGACAGGGATAAGTGATGGTGAAAAGGAAAATTTGGTAATAAAGATGCTAACCTCGTAATAATAGGCGATTGCTACAGAAACGGACAATTCCTCGGATCATGCTGTGATGGATTCTGTGCAGCGAACAAATGTAGACCTTTCTCTGGGGTTTAACTTCTTACTCTCATGATTGAGTGCACTGTGAGGTGGTTTTAAGGGGATGCAAGACAGGAGTACGTTATCACAGGCGTGGAGTTGTTAGGAGAATTGAGGAAGCGGAGGAAATTGAGATTTGCACATTCATTTGGTGTTCTAGAATTGCGCGATTTGTGTTTAAGATTTCGAATCTTTATTTGTATCGTTTCTGTCTACTTTAATGTAATGAATCTTGGAATAACAGCATTTATAAAACAATTGTTTAGCATGTGTAAAAGCTGGTCGATTCAAATCTTGTTCCTCACATGTATCTTTTTCAGTGACATGGATTTGACTCTTCCAAAGAAGTCCGAGCAGTGAGCAAGATGCAGTAATTCGTTGCTTAAAGCAAATTTTGGATTTAGCGAAATATCTGGGATATGATTCACTCGTCCCCTGTTCGGAGTTCCAGCGACTCATCAACTCAAGATGGAACTTTCCAGGCAGTAACAATGCAACCATTACCTTTATTCTAAAACAACGATTCAGACTACATCAATATCTTGTTAGGAGATTCAAAAATTTTTACTCCTGATGAGATCAAAAAAAGTGTAGATGATATTCCTTACGAAGACCTTCTTCGACTAAAAAAAATTGGCAACCCAGGACCAATCAATCACCATTCTTCATTGAACAATGCTGGGTGATCTTTTAAGTCCCGTGTAGAAGATGAAGGATTCGCCTGTCTTGCCTCGCCAAGTATATGGTGAGCTTTGCCGAAAGCTTCATGGACGCTATTGGCTGCAGGTGGAACAAAGGGATGGTATAGTTACATCGCGTGAGGTGGGATGAGGGGTAAATGACTTGAGTATATTACTTTATAACCACTGTAATCTTCCCAGAAATACCCAACTAGATATCACTCTCTCCTAAACCTCATAAACACTCATCTTTTCTCAAAATGCAATTCCTTAAATTTCTTATCATTTCAACGGGACTAATATCTCGTACCGTCTCCTCAGAATCATCAAAATGACCCAACATCTCTCCCGGTCCAGCATCCTCATTCCAACTCGCGGAGCTCCTCCCCATATCCCCTTTCACAGATCCAGTCGCTATAGAAACTATTCGTAACACATTGTCTCTATATGCATTTGCCATTGACGGACGAAATGTAAGATAAAGATTAAAAGAACTACTTTCCCTATAAGTTCTCAAAATCTTACAAATGCACCATGAATTCAAATCCTAACAAACCATTCTCCAACGTAGTGGCAAGCGTTCTCTCGGGTATTTGCCCCAGACGCCCGAGCAAATTATTCAGAGCCTCTTCCTGTTCTCTATGGACTACAAAATATCACCGATGCTATTGCAGCCCAAGTTACTCAATTCACGGGGACGCATCATAGATACGGTACCCAGTACATAGCAATATGTTCACCTACCTCAGCAATCTCCGTAACTTATCTTGAAGCTAGTCATTTCTTCTTGCCGCATACGTCGCCGGTTATAGAGGATGATAGTAATACCCTTTTTGCGACAGGAAGGTATGAAGATACGTGGAAGAAGACGAATGGAATTTGGAAGATTGTGAATCGAAATTTGGTTTTTATTGTGAGTAATGAAGGGAAGAATATTGATAGTGAAGAGGCCGGTGCTAATACTCTGAACAGGGACCGTTTATCTTAGATACTGCGTAGGAGCTTAATGTTGGGTTTCCCAACTCTGCTTGAAGTTAGTAGCTTTGAAAGCATTGGAAACCAAGATTCTCGGATTATCAGAAGCATAGACATTGGGTAGAATATGCTTTGGAGAGTCGTATAGAAGAGTGACCGGAAAAGAACTCCCTTATATTGAAATTTCAGGACTGGTCTTGACAATGGCTTTGCAATGGAAGAAATGACTATCATTGAATGTGTGGTCAAGTGTTGCGTGGATATCTTCGCTTTGAGATACCAAATATCTCCTCAATCATTTTTCGGGGATGATATCTTCCAGATCTTGTCGTACAATGACTCTCCTCCCTCTTGCCCTCCATTTCATCTTCCATTACGCAAACTCATAATCCTCCAAATGCGTCCACTCCCCACTAACCTCATACCTCCAGAGACTAATTGCCTCGGCCATTCCCCCTATTCCCCCATTTCCATCCCCGTTCATCGTCCACTCCCTCCTCACCTCCTCCAACGTTCTCTTTGCCTCCTCCTCTCCAACCTTACTCTGCACCGTAACATGCGGTCTAATTTTCCTATCATCCTGTTCCGTCAATTGCACACCTTTCTCTCTAAATTCTCCTAGTAATTCTTCATGAATCTTCCGTAATTTGAAAGATGCAATATTGAGCGCTACACCTTTTCTCCCCAAGGGAAAAGGATCTTTAATACCGACTTTGAATTTTTGTTCTCGTGATGAGAGGGAATTGAGAGTGGATTTGTAAAGAGAATGTTGGGAAGAGGGAAGGGCATGGAAGAGAGTTATATGTGCAGAGAGGTAGTTGCGGGAAGAAGGAAAATAGCGGGCCCGGAGAGCTGTGAGGAGTTTTTCGGAGGCGGCGTCGAGGCGGAGGGTCAGGATAAATGGTTGAGACATTTTTCAATGTGTGAAGGAAGAATATTAAATGGATAGTTGTTTTCAGGTGAGTTGAGGGACTTGGTGGAGTCGATGACTGGGGAAGATAATGAGGTCATGGATTTAGGAGTGGGAACCATAATTAGCGTAGAGTTACATAATGGTGTTTGAAGCGTCGACGTTAATTCAAATATTTTGATTATTTGATAACATCGCAGACTTGTGATAATTTTCATCGAGACGCACAGTTCAATCAGTATTGATGTAGATTATTTGATCCAAGATTTGTTACCGATCCAACCGTAGCCTAGATACCTCCCCTTCCTATCGCCTATCGTTGTCAAACCCGAGTACCAAGTTATTGCAATCAACAATCCTAATCGAAACATTGCAAACATAAAACAAAGTTCTATCCTATTCGATCTTACCGTCGGTCCTTTTCAAAACCCTTGCTCTGAAATTCTGTTGCTTGACAAACCATCTGTTCTTACTAACTATCCCCCCATTTCGCTCCACATCCGCATCCAACTCGAAATCAAATCTCCTCACCAATTGCGGTATCAGCTTGTTCATCTCCAACAAACTAACGTTCTTGCCAATGCAAGTTCTCGAACCCATGCCAAAAGAGAAGAAATACTTTTCTACTTCTGCACCTCGACCTTGCTCCTCAATTTCGAGCCATCTTTCGGGTCTCCATTGATCTGCGTCCGAACCCCAGACAGAAGTATTATGATGAGCTACATATGCATTGATGCCAACTGCAGAGCCACCTGGTATGAATTGATTTGCGATGGTAGTACCTTCGGCTGGGACGATTCGTTGTAGCCCCAGACCCACAGCAGGGTGGACTCTCAATCCTTCTTTGATAACCGCTTGTAGATACGGCAGTCTTTGGGCTTCTTTGAAGGTAATGGGATCTGATATTCTTCCCTCCTTTGCCGCAGTTTCGATCTCGTCTCGCAGGGTTTGATAAGTATGTGGGTACTTCAACAAATGGTAAAGCACACTCGAAAGGGTAATAGCTGTTGTATCACTTCCTGCAGCAACGTTGGACTGGCATGTGGTAACCAAATCGTGTCTCGTAATCTTCTCAGGGTCCTTTTGAGAAGCCATCAAAATCCTCGTCACAAAATCTGGAGTGCCCTCTTCTTTCTCGTCGCCACTTTCTTTCAACACCTTCTCTTTTTTTGCAATACTGTCGGCTGTGAACTTGACTATAGATGCAATCCCGCCAGTTTTAGGCAATAACGGAAATATCCAAACGTGAAGCCAGCTCCAAATCCCAACGAATGTAGAATATTGTATTCCTTTATCAATTGCCTCGAACACACCATCCTTATCCTCTCCCATATCCAAAAATCCAAAGCGTTGGCCAAATGTAATCTCTCCAATAACATCAAACGCATAGCATTGCAACCAATGCTGCATATTCACAAAATCTCCCGAATTTGCCGATTTCTCGAAGTATCGTGAGAGTAACTCGGAACAATTATCCACATGGCCCTCATATCCAACCATAGAACTCATACTAAAGTAATTTGCGACCTTACGTCGTTGTACAGAGTGAGTATGTGGATTAAGCTCAGAGAATAGCGAAGCTGGGAATAGAGTCGAAGGCTGCCATGTTGAATACCATGATGTTTTTGGGAAACTAGCTCCACCAATAGAGTAGATGACTTTGGCAGCATTGACATCATCAATCGAGTATTCATGCGGTGCGATGCGGACAATAGGGCCATAGCGAGTGTGTAGTTGTTGGTTGGTACGTTCGAAATGACCTTTGTATATTTCCCAACAATACCAGACTCGAGTAAAGCGTGCGAGGAACGGTCCTGGAATATGGCGGAGAGGGTCTATCATTGCGAGGGATACGGTACTTAGGATGTAAAGGGATACTGGGATCGTAATGAGTGCCCATATTGGGAGGGAGGTAATTTCTTGAAGCATGCTGCTTTGATTCCCCGAAAGAAAAGAAATGAGAACAACATTAATAGTGACGAGAAATGGCAAGAGATCGCAAGATATATATAAATATTTAATTATTACCACATGAACACACTTCGGACATGTTTCGGCTTGCAATGCATGACTAACACATACATATACGACGGAGTTTTGAGCGGTAGTTCAAATGCGGGGAGTATGAAACCAAGTGTGGTTCAATGCGGGGAGCTCGGTGTTACGGAGAAATATGAAAAGTGCGTCTATGTAGAGGCGGCGGAGATTTTACAACTTATACGAGCTTTACAACTCAGTACCGTGCAACATCAACTAAATGGAGTTAAACAAGAGAGGTTTATAATATATGCCCATCATTATCACCGTCATCGATATTGAAGATATAAAACTTTCTTACAGAATGACTGCGAACTCGGTGATGGATCAATATATACTCTAGATCCATAGCATCGATCATTCTACACCTACAAGAACGACTCCTTTATCGGTTAACTAACGTCCACCGAGTGGCTGGGTTGCGCAATGGGCCTGGTCTGAAGGACTGGCGGTGGACGCAGTTCGGATACATCTAAACTTCTTCAGTTATCTGAGTAGTTAGATCCTAACTAGATCCTAGCTATTTGGTTGATCACCTCAACATGCACTGGAAATTGAAATCATGCTTACATCAAAGTGACCAGCAACCGTTGATTGTTCCACGCAATTTTATACCTTGAAGTTGACTCGAGATAGTGAAACAAAGGATCATGGGTTGATACACAGTATAAAGTCAAATAATGAGTGATTTTATTCTTTTCATCTGAATGATAGATTGAAGATCGGGTTGATCGGTAGATTGGCTGAGATGAGAGGGAAATAAATACCTCATTCGAAATTCCGAACTTTATAAACCTGTTTGACATAAAATACAGTACCCCTTTGATAATTCATCATAGATCCCTCCTGCCGATCGGAGTGCCTCCCCTCAGGACCTCCCCCCTCCAACAAAGCTTTGTTTTTGACGCTTTGCCATCCACTCACTATCCTGTCTTCTCTGGGCTCTCAACCCATCATTTTCGTGTAATTCGTCGATTTCTCGTTGGCCTATTGGCTGCTCAAAATCGTATAGTGGTTCGAGGGTTGCGTATTTCTGCTGCAATAAATATCGTTTTATCCACCATCTATTTGACTTAGTCAATAATGCTATCTGGTGTGAAGGGGGTAGATAACTCACGGTAGGGCTCTAGTAAGCTGGTAATGCATATGCGTGCGCGTGGAAACAGCAAACACAAAATTTAATTCTTCGAGTGTACGTTGCTTGGTCTCCGGTACCCACAGGAATATCATGCATAATGATATGATATTTAATCCAGCGTAGAAACCGAAAGTTCCCTGTATGATCAGTTAGCAACCAAGCCAATAGAGAGGTCACGATTCAGATGAGTGTATATCTTACGGCAACAGTAAAGAGATCAAGCATTCTAGGCAAAGTAATGCTTAATACAGCGGCCCAAAAGAAGTTCGTAGCAACAGCCCAACCCATTCCAACTTCACGATGTGATAGCGGAAACACCTCAGCAGAGTAGGTAAATGGAACTGGACCTGCCCCGGGGCTATAGAAAGCAGCATAGACATATATAAACAGCGCCATAAGGCTTAGATGTGCTCGGCTGGAGTCTGGTATCAATGAACAAAGTGCCACGGCAAGTATACTCCAAGCCATGTTGGGAATCGTAAATAACAACAACGTTCGTCTGCCGTAAGTATCAATTGTCCATATAGCTGGCCATGCAAAGATAAAATTAACTAGACCAAACCCCCATGAAGCTAAAAGTGCATTGATCCTGCCGGCACCAGCTTTCTGAAAGACAGTCGATGAATAAAACGCAATGACATTGATTCCACACATTTGTTGAGCCAACATGACTGTAAAGCTAGCCAGCGTCGCTCTTCTTAACCGAGGCACTGTGAACAACTGTGTGAACCGTGTCAAGTAAGTATGGTTTCCAACAATCTCTGCCTCCAGTTCAAGCTGGGAATGGATATAGTAGAGGTCACGCGCAGCCTGTAGAGGATTGTTACGAAGTTTCAACAAAGATTGATATGCTTCTGGATATCGTCCCTTCTTCATATACCAGCGGGGACTTTCTGGGCAATAAAAGATAAGGATACAAAGAGGCACAGCGGGTATGAATGCAGAGCCGAGTTGAAGACGCCAGGCTATTCGAGGAACGTTGGCAACTATTAAATTTGCGCAAAAGCCAAGAAAGATCCCGAAAGCATTCCATACTTGCCAAGACATAACGAGCGCACCTCGGATGGCTAACCGAACATTAGCTTTCAGGTCAAAATATCGAATCGAGGGAAGAAAAGAGCGAACGTACCTGCAGGTGAGTTTTCCGCCGCATATACCGGAACTGTCGAAGCCTTCGCACCCATCCCGAGTCCGAGTATAAGACGGCAAATAAAAAGTTCTTGCCATGTTGTCGTGAACGCACTGCCAATCACACTCCACAGACAGAAGTTTCCGGCGACAAAGATGGTTCCCCGGCGTCCGAAATAATTATTGAGAGGATCAGAAATCCAACAACCTACAAATGCGCTGCTGATATATGGGGCGGCATTGCAGAGTCCGACTAGCATTGTATCGCGGGTAGATTTCCCTCCAATGTCGAAGAGGTCCGGGAACGATAGATTTGCACCGTTTGAGCCTGTATTTGTTTATCATTAATTATTGTTTCACGACAGATAGAAATATTTAGATCACAGCTATAATAATTCTGAGCCCACTAGGACAGTGACGAGACAACCGAGGTTGCTACGTTTTGAGTCGTTGTAAGATTTGTATTTGGCATAACTTCGAATGTTTGAAATCACCTTGATTCTTGTTCTCAAGCCCCATTTTCAGCGCCAGCATGAAAGATTGTAGTTGACTAACCTGTTTGGTCCCATCCTTGAACGGCAGCTCTGTTACGATGAAAGTCAGAGAGCTAAACAAGTAAAGTGCTCAGGTAGGGTGGAGACATACCCAATGGAACATGTAATAATAGTGATATACAACGCCCATGGCTGTTTCCATCTATGAAGGATTTCGTCCCTCAAGCATTCAATCTCTTCTTCATTTAGGGCATTTTCACCTCTAATATCTTCGTAATTTGTTGGATCTTGTGCCACCAGCGCCCCTTTAATCAATATTGGAAGGACACTGAGCAATTGATGCTTAGTTGCAAATGCTTTAACCTGATCGTATAGTAACGTCGTTGGAATTCCAGATAATGGATTCTGGATCCTGTTTTGAAGGGTCAGTAAAGTTTAGAGGATTGTGAGGGTTCGAGGCAATTCTCACTTAGCATCTAAATTGCTGTTCAGGTTGATATGGCGCTGATTCGCTTCGATTTCGACGGTATAACCACCCGCATTATTACCAGTAGTCTGCGACCGTGTCCTTGGACTTTTATTAGTGAACATGAAATATGAAACTCGCCCCAACGAATATCAAATGCAACATACCATTCCGGATGAACAAAATTTACATGTTCTTCGAGGTACTTTGGTTCTGGCATTGTACACAATTTCCGTCCAATGTCTTGAAACGAGCGATAAAATGACAATTTATGAAAAGCGGGGATAAGACTTACATTTATACCACCAGTGATGCAGCTTCTTATCGTTTCCATACTACCCAAGCGACCCTGAGAAACAATGGCTGCCCTAATATGCAAAATACTGACTTAATCCTGGTTTGACGTATTTGCTCTCATCAATGTGCGTGAACGTAAGGCACGAGAAGGCTGCAGTCCAATCCTGAATGGCACAGTTTGTGTGTAGTCTGACATTATGAATACAGCATCCCCCTTGTACCAAAGGAAAAGGATGGCTTCTAGAAGTTGAGGCTGACAAGTCACTAGACTCTAGGCCAATTGCCTCCAAGGCAGTACGTAGGGCGGGTGAACAATTAATTTGCTTGTCTAATACTTCCAATGAAAATCAAGAGCGACAAGCCCATCCTGCAAGGGGAAGTATCAATGTGAAAAGGGAGTTATGAAAAAACACAAACTTCGAAATGGCCTGTTCGCTTGCGCTGAGATGTCCCGTCTCTATTCGCATAAATTAATCATATGCTGTATATGAAGGCAACAGCACAAATATTCCCCAACGCGGGGCCCCGCCAAGTATGCAGAGTTAGGCTGTATAGCCACGATTCGTGGTACACTGTAACTGAACCACGAGACATGTTTTCCACAACAAAATTCAGCCTCTGTCATTCGCATAGCCTAGTGATTGCTGACCACACTGGAAGTCAAGGAAGTAGACAAGCTTCATGCGACCACTTAAAAGATACAGAACAGATAGCCACTACGTAAAATCCTCATGGCAAAGTCGTTTGGCCTCGAATCAAAATCAGGTAGATGAATTCAATCTCAATTCTCTAATCAAGATTTCATCGGCTTTCGTCCGAAAACAATAAGCTTGCCTGTAATTCCGAGTGATTTGAATCCTCTCTGATTCAAACCACCTCTTCCAAACACTCCCATGATGCGTCATGCATTTTGCTGCACAGGGTTTATCTCTCTATCAAATGAGTGATCCAGAAGCAACTTTGTATCCGATCTATAAAAAAGGCATGATGATAGAAACGTGCAGCTAATCGTACTTACGGTAGTATGATCAATGAGTAATGGGTAAAGTAAACAAGATTGGATGAGGAGTTATTGGACCGGTCTGACAGTTCTATAAGGAATTGGCTATAGGTCGAATTAAGCACAGATTACATAATAATCGTTCAGTCATGTGACTCAAGATAAGATAAGCTTTAATGTTTGATGTTGCATTGCTTAAATGCATTTCAAGATTGAGATTCCATTCGATCCTCTAGGCAACTATCACGTCGACCCACCATACTTCAGGCTTTTTGATGAGTAAGGTTATGTTTCCCGGTAAGAAGATATTATTGCCGTCATGGCACCTCCAGCTAAGAGACGGAAGCGCAATGTCATTGAATCGTCTCCCCATTCCTCTGATAACGAGGACAATGAATCGATTCAGGTGAACAAGTTCAAAAGTCGATTGAGTAGTTTGGCACATTCTCCTCCACCAAGATCGAGCTCTTCCGAGCCTACCCCAAAGTCTATGTCGCAATCCAGTAATTCCACGAGATCTTCTTCTTTTTTGAAACCTCCAACAAAAGCGACCATTCATCCTCCCAATGCTGCCTCGATCCACTTACCAAATCATCGCAAGAAGTCCACTACAAAGAGTCCCAGTACAAGTCCAGAGAAACCAAGAAGTAGAAGAAAAGTTGAGGAGAAGCGGCAAAATGCAGATATTAACACATTGTTTGCAAGGCAATCACAGAGGCAGCAGGCACAAACGGAAGGCGAGACGATACCTAAACAAAGAATCAAGGTTCTCAATTCGAGAGATATTCGACAGGAGGCTGATTTGCTAGATGATTTAATATCAGATGATGACGATGTTGGAGAGAGTCGAGCGCAAGCAACTAGCATTGTTGGACAAGCCGCCAAACGGGGAATTGGAAAGAACGTATTCACAAATTCAGGTACAAACACACCCAGCGCTAGTCAAAGATTTGTAAGACCGTCTCAGGGTTCTATAATAGAACGTGTGGCCGAGGAAGAGGATATACGACCTTGGGCTGAACGCTTTGGGCCAAATAATCTGGAAGAGCTTGGAGTTCACAAGAAGAAAGTAATTGATGTTCGAACCTGGCTTGATAATGTTATCGGAGGACAGATGAGACAGCGGTTATTGATCTTGAAGGGTGCTGCCGGAACCGGAAAGACGACGACAGTACAGCTGTTAGCTAAAGATATGGGGTGTGATGTTCTAGAATGGAGGAACCCTGTTGGAACAATCGCTTCCTCAGACGGCTTTCAGTCAATGGCTGCACAATTTGAGGAGTTCATGGGCCGGGGTGGAAAATTTGGTCAACTAGATTTATTTTCCGACGATCTTGGAGATACTCCAGCAAAAGCAGAAGTAAAACCGTTGGATCGAAGGAAGCAAATTATACTAGTCGAAGAATTTCCAAACACTTTCACACGTTCTTCGAGTGCCTTGCAATCATTTCGATCTGCGATACTTCGATACCTTGCCTCTAATACTCCTCCTCTCTCAATGCCATACAATCCTAAAGTTAAAAGTGATCCTATCACTCCTGTGGTAATGATTGTATCAGAAACATTGCTTACAACAACGTCGGCGTCTGCAGACAGCTTCACTGCTCATCGTCTTCTTGGGCCAGAGATTCTTCAGCATCCGGGAGTAGGAGTGATAGAATTCAATGCTATTGCCCCGACCATATTAGCAAAAGCTCTCGAGACGGTGGTACAAAAAGAGTCGAGAAAATCAGGCAGGAAAAAGACACCAGGACCTCAGGTATTGAAAAAGCTTGGCGAGGTGGGCGATATCAGAAGTGCAATTGGCTCTCTGGAGTTTATGTGTTTAAGAGGAGATGTCGATGACTGGGGAGGTAAAGTTGTTTTTGGCAAGGGAAAGAAAACAAGCAAAGATACATCTTTGACAAAAATGGAAGAAGAGTCGTTGGAACTGATCACGCGCCGAGAAGCTAGCTTGGGAATCTTCCACGCCGTCGGAAAAGTTGTTTACAACAAGCGCGAAGGAAAGGTATCAGACGATGTGGAATCTTTGCCACACTTCATATCCCATCACTCTCGCCCCAAGAAATCTGAAGTAGGCATAAACGAGCTTATCGACGAGACTGGCACCGACACACCAACCTTCATTGCTGCCCTTCATGAGAATTACATCCTTTCATGCGAAGCACCACCTTCTTCCTTCGAATTCTCATCACTCGATCATGTAAATGGTTGCATCGATGCCCTCTCTGATAGTGACCTCCTCTGTCCCTCTTGGGACGGTTCTCTCCAATCTTCCGGCTTCGGTGGCGGCATTACAGGAACTGGAGGCGACATTCTCCGCCAAGACGAAATGTCTTTTCAAATTGCTGTCCGCGGTATTCTCTTCTCACTCCCTCACCCCGTATCCCGAAAAGCACCCGCTGCAGCCGGATTCAGAACTGGCAAAACAGGCGATGCACATAAAATGTTCTATCCCACCAGTCTCAAACTCTGGCGCATGAAAGAGGAAATGGAAAGCACATTAGATCTCTGGGTTACACGGTTGATGAAAGGAGAAATTGATCCTACGAATACGCATTCGTCAAGTATTACATCTGGCGCCGCAGCATTCGCTCGTCCAAAAGCTGGTACAGTCGAAAGCTGGAAAATCAAAAACGCCGCTCCACTGCCCTCACAATCAAAATCAAAATCCAAGCCCAACACCCCAAAAGAAGAAGACAACCAACCGCTCCTCACCCTCGGCGTCTCCGCTCGTACAGAAATGCTCCTCGAGCGCCTCCCCTACATGATCCAAATCACCAAATCCAGATCCTCCCCCCACCAATCCCGCAACCCATTCTCCTCCTCCACTTCCCCCATCACAAACTTCCAAACCAACCCCCTTCTCGCCTCCCTCTCCAAAATAACAACCTTCACCGGCATCGGTCCCGCGCAAACCTCCGATGATCCCGCCTCCCTTTCCGACGACGAATCTCCCGACCCCAATTCTGAAAATTGGGCCACCGATAAACCAAATGGTGATGGTATGGGTACACCTCGGAAGAAGAAGCGAGGTGGAAATATGGGGGTTGTGATGAAGAAAGGAATTGGTAGTCAGAGAGCAATGCCTGTGCAGCAATTGGAGCAGAAATTTGTTTTGAGCGATGATGATATTGAGGATGATTGAAATCTGGATTGGGAGTGATGTTTGGAAGGTTTGATAATCACGGAGGTCTTGGGTGGTACACTTGAGGCGTTGATGGATGAAGGGCATGTATTTTTATGATCGGGGGCGAGACAGTTTGGCGTTTACTTCTTTGTACTGTACCTCCAAAATTAGGATTAAGATCGAGTTTTCACGGTGTTTCGTTTCTTTTACTAGTTGTCATTCCCCAAAATATCAAGCTACTGATCTCTATACACTGCATTCTTAGTGAACATGTATAACTGCCTGAATGATTTCGACCAAAGGCTTTATATTTACTAATGAGTGACTATATAACAAAGCTCTAGGTGTTTCTTTGGTTGTTTAAGTACAAGCAGAAAAAGCACAATGAAGTATATGAGTACGATCAAACCTCTCCACCACATTAATTCCTACCACACCGAAACATTTTTATCTGACAAAAAAGAAGGGAGAGACAGTGTACCCGATCTGAGAACAAACACTAAAGCGGAGTAAACCTCCACACAATGGATGATTCAAAAGTCGATAAAAAGAGAAGATTTTGGCGATAACAGCCTCGAAAATATATCACCTCTCGCATAACATAATGCAAAAGTAGTAACTATGATCTGTCCAAAGTACTGAAGATAATCCTCAGCTTAGGATGACTCGTTATGGTAGAATAGCTTTTCGAAGATAATGTTGATTAAACAGAATGAACATGTCGTAATTCGACGAAGGGAAATCCCAATTTACAGCGAGAGTGTGGACAATACAAGCTTGACTTTGTATCTGCTGAATAATGTAGAACCAGTGTAAGGTGTCCATAGATATGAGAGACTGAAAACCGGAAAACAAAAGGCCCCGGAGGATATGTTGTACTGTTATCTTGGTTGCATAAAATCTTGTCTTTGTGGAGATCGTATGAAGACCCGAACACAAAAGGCAATGTGACAAAGCAGGAAAAGCAAATGATGAGTTGTAGGTAACTTAGCGGTAGGTACCACCGTATCGAACGTTGGTTGGTGGCATACGTGGTGGTGGAGCGCTGCTGATTGTAGGGCCAGAGCCTGGGCCTGGACGAGTTTGAAGGGCAGGGTTGGTGCAGAGCATACCAACTCGGGAGCCGAATTTCGAACCACGAAGAGAGACCATGTGCTTGCGAATATGGGAAGCAACAATTTCCCGATGTTGTGGGTTGGAGTGCTGCAAAATGTATTGGATCAAGTAATTGCCATATTGATCACTGGCAATATCAATCAAAGGAATGCGGGGACGATCGAGGCGACCTTCACAGACACGATCAAGGTAACGACCAAGAAAGTCGACACCGCCAATCTTGAGACACTTTTCGACAACCTTGGAAGCAAATTGATCCATGCTGTATTCGGAAGCGTAGCGGATAACATGGTCAATAGCTCGGCTGCGATCAGCTGGTGCTCCATGCTCGCAGATATGTTGAATACACCAATTACCGAACTGTCCATGGGCGACAATGTCAATGCTAGCAAGGACTTCTTCAATACAAGGACGCTGTGGTACAATTAGACCCAATCCAATATGAGGTGAATATACAGACATACCTTGTCTTCTTCCAGACAGTTCTCGAAGATGTTCTGAACAACCAAACTGCCAGTCTCACCAAGAGCGACCTCATGCCACATACCACGAAGAGCTTCATTGACGTACTTCATGATCTGAGGTGGAGACTCAGTCCAGCGAAGTTCAAACAACTTCTGCCAGACATGGCAAGCGTATCTATGAATGACAGTTTCTGGAATTCTACGGAGCAGTTCATGGACCATAATAGCCTTGTAATCTTCTGGAACAGAATCAAAAGCCTTTTGGACAACATGGCAACCAAAAGCATCCATAGAGAGATTGAGAGTATTGCCGCGTATAGCCTCTGCGATCTTGATGACTTGCTCTGGAGTGCCGTGCTCGAAGCATCGTTGAACCAAGAAGTTTCCAAAGCGATTGACCATTAGAGGATAGGCCTGGGCAACAATAGCCTCGACAATATCATATTTCTGCTCGGTTGTACCAACCTTGAGCTTCTGTTGCAAGAAGATCGAAGCTTGCTGATCATTATTGCAAACAATCTTGTCAACAATATACTTCCAGTTACAGTTGACGGTTCGGTCCAGGAGACGACGATAGTTCAACGGCTCAGTTGTTGGTAGATAAGTTTGGTGACCTTCATTAGCAACCGACTGAAGATGAGTTAGTGAATGTTGCCTAATCAATCGATTGATGCCTACCTCAGTCTTCCATGTTCCACTTGCTGAAGTGAACTCTGGTGCATGTGGCGAAAGAGGTGTGCCTATTGGCTGAGGCTGGTAGCCTGAGTACATTCCACTTCCCATGTTCATACCCATGTTCATCTGATTGCCCAGTGGAGTTGGGATTCCCCCCATTGATCCGTAAGCACTTGAAGCTGGTGTAAAACCTTCAAAAGAACTTGAGCTGCTCGAGTAAGGAATGGAACCTAGATTACGATTGTTATTGAATCTGTTGCCATTGTTACGACGGACTCCAGCACCGGGCATTGCCATATCATGCTCGTATCTCTCGCCACGAAAGGCATTTGGAGGTGGTCCACCAAATGCCATGTTTGGCTCAACGAATGGTTGATTGCAACCACTACGACCCATCCATTGTCCAGAAGTATGTGGATCAGAAGGTTGAAAGGAAGGCATTGGTGGAGCATTCGAAAAATTTGGTTTGTTATTGCCCCAAATAGCCCTAGTACGGTTGTAGCCACTTGCGGAAAGAGCATCACTATGGTCCGAATGTGCATCTTCTTGGTTGGCCCAGGAGCTTTCACGAGTGACGTGAGGACGAAAATGATTTGGAGGGATACCGGCAGAGGGTTCAGAAACATTTCCGAGAGGAAAGTCGGCTTCAGAAACACTACCAATAGCTTGGTCAATAGTGTGCTTTGTGATGCGGTTTTGTGCAAGCTCTTGGTCCATGCGTGCAATTCTTCCTTTTGCAGCCTCCAACTCAATCTTGAGACGTAGAACCTCTTCAGCACTAGGCTGATTATCCCCATCACCACGACTCTGAGGACGAGTAGTTGGAGCAGTTGTCGCTGTGCCAGAGTCGAAATTTTCCGTAGCAGGTGTGATTGGGACAGAGGTAGGAGCAGAACAGTAGTCGAGGGTTCTTGAATTGTTCGAGCTATAGTCATCTGAGTTCCTCAAAGCTTCATGCTGGCGATTGAGAACCGCTTGTTGCTCCGAAAGCTTGGCCAATAATTTATCGACAGGATTTGGCGAGTTGTCGAAAGTGGGACATTGGAACGAAGGAGCAGTGGTAGTAGGGGCAATGAAAGTCTCGTGGCTTAACTTCATCTTCTGTATCCGTTAGTATGCATTAAAGTATTGAGTGGATGAGACTTTTACCTTAGGAGCAGCTTGGTTGCCCAACTTGTTTGTAGAAAGAGCTGTAGCGGCCTTCTTGAGAGTATTAGCATTGTCCTGAATAATATTGGTCAGTAAGATATGCGAGATATTTAGAAAATGAGATTGCATAGACGGCGTTTGATTGGAAGGTAAGCAGCAAGGACTCTGCTAGTGAGCTCACTCAAGAAGAAATGGTCAAATTATATTAGAAGGGGGTGTCGGAGGCACAGAAATGGCAATCAATAAGGAAAAGGACGGGAAGAATTGAAGAAGATTCAAACTTACCATTCTTGTTGTTAGTTTATCAGCGGCATCGTCACCGAATCCAGGGTTTTCATGGCTGCTACGATCAATTGTACGACGAAGGGTTGGCGATCCATTGGAAGCGACTGAGGAAGCCATGTTGCTTGTGAGATATCTTGATGAGTGGCTTTGAAAGGAAAGTAATGATCCAATGCAGATTGTGCAGACTGAATAGATCGGAAATGATTGTTGAATGGCTCACTCGTAGATGAGTTGAAAGTAGATGAAGAGAAATGAAGGTATTGAAGATCAAGAAAACAAATAAGAGTCGTAGCTCTATGGAGAATTAGATAGAGAAGTAACGTCTATCCTTGGCAGCTGCTCTATCCTTTTTATCAAATGGCATGCAAAAAAATGAAAGTATAATCCAGTATATTTGGAATTGAGGTTTAGAGAAAGAATGAAGGTCCCGTCGTTGTTGGAGAAAGAAAAAAAAAAGGTCGAAAGTGATTTTGTGCGGGTGTTCGGCAAGCTTTATATTCACTCAGAGAATCTTACACTCACCTCACTCTATCGTCTCGCATATTTCAACTCTGAAGTCTTTTTTATGATTGGATGGGCATATTTTTTCATGAATCAAATAAATATGAGACGCAAGTAGAGTAAGAGGCTCTGTGAAAGAGGAAAGAAATTCAAGTATTGCAAGAGAGAAAATCCAGAAAGCTCGATGAATACAAAGTTCCAGCATGGTCGCTCTTGCCCCTTCTTTTCTGTACTAGTACCGCTCAAATTCCCTCATGAATAACTTCTCTGAAAGAATCTTAACTACTTCCAAAGTTTACATGCGATGAATCTAAATTACCTTTCGGGCTGAAGTATCAAACCAAGATTTGTTGTGAGAATACCGTCTACCCATGATGGTCATATAAGGAAATAGCAACTTGTATAGAATTGTAGAAAGTACGACAGATCGTTATGTCCTCTGATCATGCCTAAAGATGGTAGTAGATATGAATAGTACTTAACACATATGGCCCTCTTGGATAATGTATACTTCCACGTTGAAATAGAAAGAAATCATATATGGCTCAAACTTTCATCATGGCCTTGAAAGTCTATAAGCCATAAGCTGACAGGGAGGGATTTGAAGTCGAAATCGGCGTAATCTCAATACTTCGTAGCCATGGAAGGAGCTAGTTCATTCCAAGGCTGCAATCACTTGCAGTATTGTGACTTCTAGCCGAGATTTAAATGCTTTCAGGAGCAATGTATGCAGATTCATAATAATCTTTCTCATTTGACTGAGCTTCTGCAATTTGCGTTTAAGGTCCTGGCAATAGTTCAGGAAACCCTCCACCAAGCCCCGTCCCAAGAGCCGAGCCCAAACGCCAGTAGTGCTACAGTTGTAAAATGCTGTACAAGTTATGTTCAGGATATAACGCTTATCCTCATCTACCTCTTCTTTCCCTTGAACTTCTTGGAATCTGAGTAAATTTGTTAGTAAATGCCTTCATGCCCGCAGTGGACCACATACCTTCTGCCGTCCTCTTCTTTTTTGGTGCTCCCTTTCCTCTAGCTTTCAGACTACATTACTGTTAGTAGGAGTTTCCAGACACTGATCTAGATGATACACATACATTGTAATATGTTCAAATCTATCTTCCTCAGCATCATCATAGGTCTCGACGTCATATTCGTCATAAGCTTTCTGCAGATCCTTGATTGTAGCCATCTTTCGTGGGTAGTATGCAGCCAACGCCGGTCCCTTTAATCTTTGTCGAAGAATCTTGTTTCCTGTTCGAAGTCTATCAGGATTGAATGTGGTTGAGAAGATCCGGCATTGGACCTGTACAACTGAGATTAGTCCTGAGTTCCCGGCTTTAAGATTATATAAACCAATACCTTCATCAATTCCAGCACTCTCGACTTCGCGACCGACATGTTTATTAGTGATATAGGCTTGTATTTGCTCTTCAAATCTAGTTGTTCATCAATTCTATAGATTTTAGCGGCCCTGTCCGGGATTTCGGGCCTTGATTGATCCGGGAATCACGTGCTATCCTCGAAGTTCTGGTTCGCGACTTTCAAATCTTCTATTTTGTCGATTGTTGACGATTTTTTCAGTTTTTAATGGAATAATCTGAACCCATTTTTTCATTGATCGATCAAATCATCTTTCAGCAATTCCCTCTTCATTTCATTGCGATTTACTGTGAACAATTACTTGTCCTTCAAGCATTGTAAAGGTGCATGCATCCGACTCAGAAGCAAATTTGGGAAACCCAGTCAAGTTAGAAATGACATCTAAACGTCCATTTCCCTTCGAGAATGTCAGCGGTAAGGAGCACAAGAAAAGAAACGTAAGTCAAAATTCTTAAATACATCCACAACTCTAATTCAAATATCAGATCAATTCTTTATCGCATAAGAAAATCACCCAATTATTGGGTGCATTAGAAGAGCTTCTTGGGGAAGACGATGTGGGCGAAGTTGAGGCATTAATGGGTGGTGCAGCATTTTCGGGAGCAACCGAACTTCGTAGTACACTACGAGACCAAGTGCAGTCGGACTTGAATAATACCAGCCATAGTGGTTCTGGGGACTCTAAGGTTGAAAGTTCATCTCAAGAACCTGGCATTGGAAACCCGGGGACAATATTAACAGCTCTACAAATTACACCATGGACTTTGTCTTCCATTCCATCAAAACTTCCGCCCCTTCCAGAAGTGTATGATCCTACTCTCGAGCTGGCTTCGTTCACTCACCATGGCCGTACTAATGGTAGCGTTACTGATGTGAGCTATGAACGCCTAGAATGGATAGGAGATGCATATATCTACACCATTTCTACCCTTCTCATATCACAGACATTCCCTGCCTTACTGCCTGGAAAATGCTCCCAACTTCGTGAAAGACTCGTCAAGAATGTCACTTTGGCTGATTTCGCACGAAAATATGCTTTCGAAAAGCGCGCGAAATTGCCAGAAGATACTCTCCACCCTATGAAAGAACCGGAAAAAGTCAAAGCAATGGGAGATATTTTTGAGGCATATGTCGCAGCTATCGTGCTCTCAGATCCGGAGAATGGAGTCTCACGTGCATCAGAATGGCTAAAGAGTCTCTGGGCCATGGTATTGTCGAAAGAAATCCAGCAAGAAGAGCGGAATGAGGATAAATTGGATAGCCCCTTATGGAGATTAAGAGGAAATGTTGACCATGTCCAGACCAAAACTAAAAGCGTGCTTAATCCCAAAGAGAAATTACAAAAGGCCCTCAGTTCGAAAGTCAGTAAATTGACATATAAGGATATTGGAACAGCCAAGAAGGACAAGAATACTAAACTCGCAGTGTTTACAGTGGGCGTTTTTCTTGACGGATGGGGCGAAGTTGACAAGCAGATTGGGTTTGGAAGTGCCAATGGCAAGAAAGAAGCCGGCTTCAAAGCCGCGGAGATGGCGTTGAACAACAAGAAGATGATGGCCAAGTACTTGGAAAAGAAGAAGATCTACGTTGCACAACAGGAGAGAGAAAGAATTGCGCTTCAAAAACAAGAAGAAAATCGATCATGATCAACAGCTACAAAAGGAAAATTATGACCTCTAAGTCAGGTGGTCAGTAAGGGTTCTCAGCTTGAGGGACGTTGATAGACAAATAAGGATTGCTTGGATTGCAGCGGTCAACATGAATTCGGGTTCATTGCAGTGCATCTCCTTAGAAGTTACTTGTTGGCAGGGAATAGATACGCAAGAATTAAGTTTTCAGATAGGACACGAAACAATTAACATAGCCGCCTCTTCATGAGCTACCTGTGTGAAGGCGTTCATGAGGTGTTCGAATGCATCCATCATACATACTTTCAGCGACCTTGGATCCATTCTCAAGCAATCAACTAATGTGTGTTATCATTTAACTGGTTGTTCCCCTTGCGCTGAAAACATCATTGTGGATCATTGAGTGAAAACCCTCGAGAATCCTTACAAACACTTGTCAATTGACACTTCTACATGTCTCATGTTCCCGTCTCTCAGGAACTGCGATATATTCTGTTCTTCAATATTGTCACTCCAAAGCAACCTTTCACAACATATACAAAGTACCTGAGTCAGGGGTGTAAGTAACGATCTCAAGGTAAGATTGCTAGCGCGGTCCTTTCCGGCACCGCTGATCCTTGTAATTTCTCCATTTCCTCGAGCCTCGGTTGGTCATTGCAGGTACAAACGCGAAAAGATGCGCATGATTATCATTTAATATTTGCATTTCCTTTCATTTCAGATCTCCGACCTTGCTATCTAGAATAATATTCCTTTACTTTTTGAAACAGTTGGTCCAAGTTTGTGAAAATCGCATTTCCTGGCCGAGAATCAAGTCATTGATTTATAACATTGGGCTGGGACATTTTATGCTGAATAGATGAGAGAGGGAGGAACGCTCTGGAGATAAGATGGCGGATTCTGTGGGTAAGTAATGCGCTGTCGGTTCCTGATGACGATACATATCTACCCTATCCTACCAAGTCTGCCCTGAACTGCTGCAGAGATTCCCAATTGTACAAGTCTGACTCTGCCCAAAATGCCAGACCGAGTATTCGTCCACGCGCTCAACACAGTAAAAAAGATACCCAAGACTGGAGCATCGCGGCCGCCTCCTGCAGATCGATTACGTCTCTATGGATTATACAAACAGGCTATGGAGGGGGATGTGGATGGTGTCATGATGCGGCCGAGTTCTAGGGGCGAGGGTGAAGATGGGGAGGCGGGACTACAGGGAGAAGAATTAAAGAGGGAAAGGGATAAATGGGATGCGTGGGATGCGCAGAGAGGGGTCAGTAGAACAGAAGCGAAGAGGAGGTATATTGAAGCGTTGATTGATACTATGCACAAGTATGCCAGTACTACTGCGTAAGTCATGGATCTCCTGCCTTTGGAGCGCAATCCGAGGGGGTTGAGAATAAGCTAATTTCAGATGTGGCAATGCAGAGATGCGAGAGAATTGGTTGCGGAATTAGAGTTTGTCTGGGATCAAATCAAAAATAATACTCCATCATCCACGGGATCTTCGCCCGGTCATCGCGTGCCATCGTATACGACTCAACCGAGACAATTTCTAGAACCAGTGTCAGGGACCGACGGCGCAATGAGAGTATTGAGTCCAATGAGCCAGGACGATGAGGCGGAAAGGGAATCTGAGAGACGATTAGGACGCAATGGTGAAGATGAAGAGGTATATACCGACGGCAAAAACAACAAGACGAAATGGAGGAAGAGTGTGGAACAAGCGCTAGTGAAAATGACAGCTGAGATCGCAGCATTGAGAGAGCAGATTGCTACGGGAAGAGAATACCAGGGCAAAAAGTCAAGGTCTCCAAGAAAATGGCTGGCTTGGTTTATATGGATCGCCATCAAACACTTTCTGGTGGACATGGCGCTATTAGGTCTCATTCTATTATGGATGAGACGAAAGAAGGACAGGAGAGTGGAGGATCTCGTAAGAGAAGGACTGAGGATTGGGAGGGAATACGTGAGGAAAGTCTTACCCTCTCGGTGATAAGAGATCGATATTTGAAACCTATAACTTATAATAACGACCAAGAGCGAATACAATTGTCGGACGTTCTCGCTTCACATTGGACGACACAATATTCAGAAATCGGTCAAAGACTCCTTACTAAAGATTGAATTATATTATACCCATCAAAAAAATTCCAATACATATATCACCACGATCTATCAAGTCGCTCTTCGCACAGAGGTATCTACGAAGGCATACCCTCCATCTGCGCGGCACCAGGAATCTCGGAAAGCCACTTCACCCTCTCCTTAACAAACAATTCCCCCTTTGGAACATTCTCATTCGGCCAGTTGTCATCATCCAAAACGCCAGCTTTGAGAATTACTTGGTTGGGGAAAGAATCACCGGTGCGGTAGAGAGTGGTGCCACAATCACCGCAGAAGTGGGAGGTGACTTGATTGCCGGAATCGGCTTTCTTGCTGATAGTCTTGGGGTTTCCTGGAGGTGTTAAATGGTGGACTTGTGGGATTGGATATGAGGGCAAAAGGGAAAGAGGGGAAGAACGGAGAAATGGGTGGGAAATGGGAAAACGCTGGAAGGCATGGGAAATACACACCAGATTCAAGCTTGAATTGTCCTTCGGGTAATACGATATTGTTACTATAAGTAGCACCTGTAATCTTTCGACAATCGGTACAGTGGCATAGGAGATGGGCTCCTGGCTCGCCGGTGTAGCTTATGCGGATCTATGAGATTTTCGCAGTCAGCATACATGGAACAAGACGGCGGGGGGTGGTTGTGTAATATATATATTGTAATCTTATAATGACATGAGGCAGATAGGTATTGGGAGGGAGGGGCAAAATACCGCATCACAGAAACATCCTCCTGATGGCATTTTCGAATTAACGGTATATTGCAGTTGAGAAAGGTTAGACGTAGTGTTGAGTAGTTAATAAGATGATTGTAGATATGGATTGCTGGCTGTCTGTTTAAGAACTATATATATACCTTCTCCTTCCCCTACAAAACCCATCATATCAAAGTTCCAAAACATGAATACAAATCATCCACTGCCTTGTTCCGCTCATCCTGAGCTCGGTAGCAATACTATCAAGACAATGGGGGGCGGTAGAGGTCAAAACTCGAGCTAAGGGGTGCGGAACCGATGAAGCTAGGCGTTAATATTCCTTTCTTCCGAGACGGGAGATCTTCTGTGGAGTCTAGCGGTGCATATTTGGAATGAGATTTGGAGGGATGTGAAATGGCAATTTGCAGTTGGTGAGATGGGATGGGGTGGACAGTTAGATGTTATCTGATATTATGATATTGGATGAAAGGAGGAGCACAAAAAGTGAATTTTGATTTCGAAAATCTTGGGTAATACAATAAAAAGTTAGTACAGAGTGAATCAAAACCACTTTCATGTTCAATTGATAGACAAATTCAATATCTGCAAGAACAACAAGGATAGCTGGAGATAGCAAACTTGATCGAACAAAGCGCATCGGCAATCTTTGGCCCCTCTATCTTCCTTCCCACAACTGACAATTTATTATCCCCAGGTACAGAGTAACCTTACCTGACCACAAAATTCTAGTCCTGAACACAGCATTTCGGCGTTATCCAGAGTTACCCAGCGATTCCTGGAGTCTAAAGTAAACTGTCAAAGCATAGAGATCAATGGTCGAGCATATCTGTGTAAGAATTCCCGGCTTTCTATTGGAATAGTTCCAAGCCCGCGTTTCACGATGGGTCAAACTTCGGACTTAGGAACGCGTCCACGAGATGTAAGTTGGAACCTCACGTTCACACGTGATATTGAGTACATTCCTATTCCTCTCTTTACTTGATCTTCATTCTCGTATTTCATATTTACCTTAAGAGAGTGAAGACTAATAAATTATCAGACGCCTCTGAATACCGCAATCAACGCTTCAATCTTTGTCGCCTTCAACGGATTCCCAACTGGACCCCCTGCACCCACTGATCGCGAAACTAAGATCAAGAATCTCAAACGTCATAATCGTCTTGTTCGTGCGAATATCGTTAAAGCTTTCGTGGCTGAGAAAGAGAGGCTGTTAGAAAAGTTTAAAGACGATGTTGCGAAGCAGAAGGATGCCATTGCAAGAGGAAGAGCTAATCGAGTCGTAATTTCGATCAAGCAGGATGCGAGGGAGAGGAAGAATGGAAGGGAACTTGAAGATCTCTCGTTGTTGAGAGGTCCAAAATGGTTGTTAGAATTGCAAGCACAGGATGGGAGGAGTGGAGTCAATGATGTTTCCCCACAGGAACTGCAGAATAGGGATAGGCGATTGAGGAAGGAAATGGAGGGGCATAAGAGTGAAGAGTACGAGTGGAATTCTAAGGATTTCCGCGGCTCTGCGCCTGAGAGTGAGACTGAGGAAGATATAGATGGTAGTAGGGATAGCGAAGGAGATGTTGTGATGGGAGGATTGGATTCATCGAGTGTGTCGCCCACAGAACTCAGTACTCCTTCTAACACGACGGCACTTTTTGAGCTCGAACAAAAGCTGGATCAAGACCTTCAGCGATTATTGAAAAAGGGGATCAAGAAGATAAAGGAGTACGATGCTCATGCGGACAGTTCCTTAAAACAATTCAAAGACAAATTGGCGCAGGATATTATCAATGGCCTTGGATTGGACACAACGGAGGGTGAACCATTGAAGAACACAGGGTCGAAAACCAATCTACCAACTCCATCCGGGCCTCATGTGGGTATACTGAAAAAGAAGTCTGTTTCGATGCAAACTCCTATGGATTCACCAGCGAATATTCCGAAGAAATCAGTATCGATCCAGACTCCATTGGAGGGCGGGGCTGATTGTGGTAGTACTTCGAAGAAGTCGGTATCAATCCAACCTTCAAAAGAGAATGGTGGTAGTCCTTCAAAGAAACCTATATCAATTCAAATACCATCCAAAACTCAAAATGGAGTTTTGGGAAGAGCACTTGTACAAAGTCCAATGGACATTACTGGTAGCGCTTCAAAGAAAGTCCGTCTTGACGATCCCTTCTGGACTGGCCCTTCAAGTTCAAGTTCAAGTTCAACTCCGCTATCCATGAATACTCCAACCAGTGCACGGAGCCAGGTTTCTTTCCCGATGAATGCTCCTACGGGACCAGCAAAGTCCAGGCGTCCCTCAAATTCTTCGAGTGGGCCTCCCACTCCCATTGCACCAAATGTTCCGACGGGTCCGGCAAATCTTAAACATTCCAGGCGTCCATCAAGCTCGTCGAGTCGAGCGCAGAGTCCCAATATGCCGACTTTCCTCGCCGGCTCTGCGAATGCCAATCCACCTACTCCTCGTCTTTCTCATTCTCGAAGTGCGCCAAAGGATTCTCCTTCTCCTCGTCGGCCATCTAATGCTGGTCTGCGAGGTGGTTTAGCTTCGCCGTCAATGGTCTCCACACCAGCGACAGATTCTAAAAGCACTGATTCTCACACTGGCAAAAGTTTCATATCATCATTCAACTGGCTTCCGGAGCTTGATGATCGATTTGATCTAAAAACTCTAATCGGGGATGAGATTGAAATTATTAAACATGAATCAAGGGACGACTATGTTGCATTTAACAAGACTTCGGGAAAGACGGGTCATATCGATATCAAAAATTTCACGCAGGACATCGAGCCCATCGGACTGCTTGGTTCAACTTTCATATCTTCAAGCCGATATGTTCCAAAATCTTACAACAACTTTTATGATTTAGAGATTGATCATGGTGATGAAGTCAAAATCACGTCGCATCACTCCGCCGATGCATTTGTAGGCTTCAATATGAGAACAAAAAGGGAGGGGATTTTGAACGCGAAATATTATCTGAAGGATATTGAAGACGCCGAACTTGGTAACAAAATCGCCACGCGATTTGGTCCAAGTTACAACGATAAAGACGATCCTCCTATTTCACATATCGGTAAAACCTTCAGAGCAACAGATACCCAGAGCCCAAAACATCCCAAAGATATGTCTACTCTAAATATTAGAATTGGCGATAAGATTGAAATTACCAATTATACCAACGGAAACACTTTTGTGGGTTTCAACAAGACGTCAAAAGAAAAAGGGCAATTCAATATGGACACTTTCTGGAAGGATATCGAGAAATCTAGTCTCGACCTTATTAGCGGACCATCCACATCCAAGAAAAACTCCCAAAACAGCAAGCATGTACACGTTGGCAAAACTTTCATTGCATCACACGACTATTATCCACGTATTGATGCAGCTGATGATCTGCCCATAAGATATGGTGATGCTATTGAACTTGTCAGGCATGACTTTGGTGACATATTTGAAGGATATAATACCAGAACAGATAGGATGGGGCTAGTCAATATCTTATACTTTAAGAAAGACATCAATTCTGTTGGTAAAACTGGAGAATCTTTCTCAGCAACAGGGTCTCGACGTTCCGAAAATTACTCATATGATATTGGTATTCCACAGACCGACGGTAACAACGACTCCGAGTATTATCCCCAAATCAACCCCGCTGCACATGTTGGCAAAACTTTCATCTCATCGCACTCTTGGCTTCCTAATAATGGCATTGATCTAGCAATACGTCTTGGCGATGCTATTGAAATTATCAACGACAATTTTGAGGGAAACTATGAGGGTTACAATATCAGAACCAAGAAGTATGGCCGATTTCAAGCCAGGTACTTTCAGAAGGATATCGATGCTCTTGACTATATTGGAAAGATTTTCACAGCCACGAGCAGCCTATACGATCCGGATTTCAATGCCCTACAGATTAATTTTGGTGATGCCATTGAAATCACGAACGTCATAGGCCGAGATCTGTACACGGGAAACAACCTAAGCACCGGGCAAATGGGAGGCAAGTTCTACATTGATCAATTTCGAGAAGATGCCAAACTTGGTCATTATGCTGGTATCGATGAAAACCGAGGAAACGACGAACATCGCCACTTTGCTGGTGAAATCCCGGGCGACCATTCCGCTCATGAACCTCGAGATAATGATTCACCTGACAATTACATCAACAAAGCCTTCGCAGCAACAAGTAGCCAAAGTCCTCGCGGACCTTCAGACATCATCACGCTATCCATCTCCATAGGTGACATGATTGCAATCAACAAATTCGTCTCCGGCTCCACGT